AAATCCAACCTGAGCAAGAGATTCAACAGGATAAAGACAAGTCAAAATAGTCTTATCAAACTCACATTATGTAATTTCCTGCCACTAGGGGTCTCTCAATCAAAACAATAACAAAAGACGGCACGAGGTAGCATTGGATCATGAGAATTTTGTTATGCCCCAAATATTTGGAACAAACTACCAGAAACATGCAGGTCCGCTGCAACTCTTACTTCTTTAAACCAGGCTGAAGACTTTTATTTTTCCCGCAGCTATTCATACCTTACACTGCACTGTAACTGTTATTCTTGTATTTGATCAATTAGCTTGTTTTATGTTTATTTTATTCTCTTTGCTTTTTAAATGCCTTTTTTGTAACGTGTTTCCGCTGCACTATTTCTTAATGCTCTTAATGTATTTCATTTTTGTAAAGCACTTGGAATTGCCATGTGTTGAAAGGTGCTATATCAGTAAACGTGCCTTGCCTTGCCTTTGTTAATTATCTGACGCTGTTTGGGGGACACAGGGCGCTAACTTAGCTCTATTCTCTGATAACTTCAAATCCAGAGGTCCGATGACTCCGATCCTTTATCCCATTAAAATATGATGAGTTTTGCCAAAGTATCCTTACTCTTAGATCAGTGGGAAGTGCACAGTCTGCTAACTGAGCCATCTCCTCCTGAAGTTGAGAGATGTGAGGCTCCAGGCTGAGAACCTTAACACAGATTCCTGGCTTGTTGAACACTGCAGTGTGAGGAAAGACAAAAAGACAGGTCAGACGTCACATAACTAAAGTGTGAAAAAGTCAAACCCTTGGTAGGAACCTGAACCAAGAGAGCTTTCTTACCAAATTCGTACAACTGTTTGCATTTATTCTCCATTTCCTCGATAAAGTCTTCCATTTTACACTGTTTAGCTAGTCGTGTGCAGTCCTCCACGAGGCTTATATCGATATCCATTCGTCCTGTAACATAAGGAAATAGGATGAACGAAAAGATTTTGACTCCTTAACTTTTCAATTGTTCTGCTTGACATGACTACACATAAAGTAGACCAATATAAGCATGGCAGTTGTATGTAAACATGACCTGACTGTATTCACATTTCTAATGATATTGGACTTTAAAGTGCTTATTTGTCCTTCTCTATGAAGGACTGTGTTCCTTTTCCCTCATCACTTACATTAAAATCATTATTGGAAGAATTACAGTAGGACATCTTTTCCATGTTCATATAGGCCCCTGAATATTGTCATAATGCAGACATAATATAATACAGTATAATTGAAAGGTACCTTGAATTTAATCTTATTTCTTATGAAGTTCAAATTACACAAGTTACAATAATAATCTATTAAAAACAAAATGTATGGAAAATATAGTTTTTTATATTTATCATGAAGGTAAAGTATTCTTTTTCTCTCTCTAATATTTCAGAATTATACTTGTAACTAACAGACGGACTAAAGTTTCTTGCTAAGTCTTAATACTGTGACCAATGAAAATGTTTTCTCTCAGTAATTGTGATGTTATGTTAAATGTTCGTTGTTTGTGTTTCATGTATTGTGTCTGGATATGTGTCTATGTTGGTGTTGGACATGGAGCTGCTGTGATGCAAGTCAAATTTCAGACTTGATCTGACCAATAAAGTATTATCGTATCGTATCGTATAATATAATGTAGAAGGCAAAATATTGTCAGCTCACCAGTGTAGGAATACTGCAGGATGGCTCCAAAGGCTGCAGGGTTCACCTGAAATCAAACCATACAGATGTAGATACACAAGATATGCCTGCAGTTTGTATATTAGCAACAAACATCTAATTGAATCAGACACTAATTCTACCTACCAACGGATGTTTGAGTGTGATCAGGTTCTTCCCTTTCCATTTGGTCTCAAACATATCAGTGAAGTACTCTGAGCGTGCACTGAGAACACATCGGTGGGCTGTAAATATTTGTCCATGAACCAGGAACTTGACATCGCTCTGTAAACCCTGCTCCAGTAACCTGGAAAGCAAAAGCACAAATATGTATCAATCAATCAATCAATGTTTATTTATATAGCCCAATATCACACATTTAACATTTGTCTTAGTGGACTTTACAGTTTGTACAGAATATGACACCCTCTGTCCTTGGACCCTCACATCGGGCAAGAAAAAACTTCTAAAGAAACTCAAAAGTTAATGGGGAAAAATGGAGCAACAGAGGAGGGATCCCTCTCCCAGGACGGACAGACGTGCAATAGATGCCTTGTGTAAATTGAAAAGATAATACATTTACAACATAGGTAGTCCAAATGCTTGAAAATGCATGTGTCTATAAATTAGTAGATGAATCCAGGTGGATGTCAACAATCCTGTGGGAGCCATAGATTCAACATAAACTTTAAAGGTACTAAACTGTGCTTTTGCATTTCATTCTTCTTGTTTCTTTTAACTCGAGAATATATTTCTTTTAAATGAATGGCAAACTTACATGTGCAGGAAGTAGTTGTAATCATCCCGCTGCATGGCGCGCACAGTGATGCACTTATAATCTTTGAGCAGGCGTCGAACAGAGTCATTCAGACAGCAGTACAAACACCTCTCGCCATCAAACGTGTTGGCCTCACACCTAGCACCTGGAAGCAAAGCAAATATAATAAAACTGATTATACGACAGAACATTTATTTCAGTGTGATTTATAATGCTGAAATCACACCATATCGTTTTTATGCTTTTATTATGTTTGCATTACATAATCAAACGTACCACTAGCCAACAGGTACTGGACGAGCTCATCATGGCCACAGAGACAAGCATAATACCTGGAGAGCAAAGTGTTCACATTTTAAGTTGGAGGTGTAATGATCGTGTGTTATCCAGAGAATTATACCTCCTTATATTGTACTTACAAAGGGCTGCTGTCCCAGTTATCTCTCACATTGAGGTCCACATCTCTTTGTTCAACAAGGTATCTGAAAGAGAGAATAAATAAGTGTTAACAGTGACAAACCAGAACCTGACTACAATGTATATAATGTCAAACATTTTGAGAGAAAATCAAAAGGGCGCATCACACTGGAGCAAAATGCAAGGTGGAAAATGGGTGAGAGGCACTGTTCACATGGCTGCATACATTTAAAAACATAAGGTTTATTTGGTATAAAGCTGAATTTTCTGATGATTTTTTGATTTTGATTTTTTATTCTATGCTGGTTTGTTGCCTTGTTCCAACAAGTTTGGAAATCTCGATAGTTAAGCTAGGTATTGTACTGATAATTTGCAGGTAATTGCAGTCGGTTTGTCTGTAAAAAAATAAGGAGGGACTGTTTAATGTTCTGTGGCTCTGATTAGATAGAATATCAAAGATCTTGCTGTTAACAGGTATATAAAGGTGTTGTTACATGGTGCAGCTTTTAAATATTGCCAATTAGGAGCTTATTAGCAGCAGGCAGAGAGATGTACAGTGATCTCAGATAGTTTGTTTTTGGGACTTCAGTCTCAACATTTTGTTGGTATTTAGTTCATTGTATCTGTACAAAAAGATTAGTAAGAAGAGTTTTTTCTGTTGGAAATAGAGTTTGAAAAAGATAATTAACCACCAGCAGTTTAAGTTAAAATATGGTTATGCATTAAATTGCTTTTAAATCAGCATTATTTTATTTATATGTTTTCTAACAAAATGCATAGAGGAATTTATGGAAAAGAAGGCAATAATTGCGTTGACTGCCCTAAACTGCCATCATGCCTGTGCAAGGCGTGGCTAAAGCACACCGAGCTTACAACACTCATCATCAATATTTGGCAACAGTTTACATGGAAAACACTAAAGTGCCCAGTTCTAATGGGACGCCCTGCTGCAACATAACTTTAAACATTACCACAGCTAAGTTAGTTATCTTTGGATATTTTTGAATGCCCTAAAGCAGAGAACATGTCCCATATCATTCAGTATTAAGCACAAGGTGTGGTGCTGGACAGCATTAATTCATGTCTGGTAAATAGGCCATCCAACACTGACAGATAGTATCTTAACTACGCTGTATCAACAAATTATACTAGTGGTTTACAAACATCAAGGACAGCTACAGTTATCAGCTGGGTCATAAAGAGCTAAAGTTAGCAACCCTTCCGTGTTTACCTCAATGTTTACCTTGCAATAACAACGCAGTTAGCTTAGAGTTTACCTGCAAGACGTGCAGTGCAGGCCAAATACATAAGACATGTTTTGTAAGACAGAAATGAGGAAAACAGAATACAAATACAGTCATAACACACAACCAAAGACATCCAAGCCAAAAACGTCAGCTGAGCCGTTGTTTACCTGACTCTAAAAATGTCGCCCTTTTTGCAACTACTAAACAGATCGGAAACATCCATGATCGCCGCGGTGTTTTCGGTCCTCTGTGATGCATTGAAACGGCCTGTCTGCAGGACAGGTCAGCGATGATGTTGTGTAGCTTCAGGGTTTGCTCGATGTTGTAAAAGTGTGTTTACTGTCAGCTCTGTTGCAATGTTGTTGACAGTCTGCAGGGTTCCTCCTCCGTGTTGTGGTGGAAGTGGTCCGGTAGTCACGTGTCTAATGCGTGTTCACTTCACTTGCTGTGCAAAAAAACCGTAAATTAAGAATCCACACGACAGCAAGCGTTTATTATTCTCTATGTTTTTCCTTCAAAAGTCATGTAACGCTGTATTATTATTTTTACATTACATGAGTTTAAAACGTATACATGTAATCTAACAACATCAACTTAAATGCATTTTTATATTTATAACCGCAGATATATAACTTAAATATCCTAAGTGTCAGGCATAGAGGTGTCAGGTCGTTATAACAGCTACAGAACGCTGGATATCGGAGCTTACGCCGGTCACTTGAATGCAGCACACGTTCGATCTGTTTACTACGATAAACACTGAACCAAAAAATGTACAGTTGCTCTTTAATTAAACATTTATTTTTTGAAGTTTTTAGAGATCATCATTATAAACTCATAATTTCACTGTCTGACCAATAGACCAGACAAACCAATCATCCATTCCATCTCATTTTTATTATTAACAGAATAACATAATACATACCGGGGATATGATATACAATTAGAACAAATAAAAGAGTCAGGGGTATTTCACTCTGCACTAAAATATTATAAAACATACATATATTATCTGTCTAGGTAGACTTTTTGATTATCAAATTAGACAATAGTTTTACATATTGCTCACACCAATATTATGTTTTCCTTACATTCACATTCATAACTTATTTAAATGCTTACATCATTATCACATGTATTATTATTTGTTTAGTTTTGTAAAAACACCTATTTATTTGATGTAAAGTTTAAGGATACAGTCAGGCCACAATCCACTGCTATTTATCTGATTAGATAACAATAAAAAGGACAACCTTCATTTGTGAAACCATTATGTATTTAAAAAAATACAGCTTAGCAAAATCAGTCGTGTTTGAGATCTTGTAGTCATTGTTTGAGCTTGAGTGTGGAAAGCCGCTGTTTTAATAAAGTGATCAGTAGTTGAAGTTTTTCTCGCTCCAGCAGGAGGTTTTCCTTCTGCAGTTTCAACACATCATCCTGCAGACTTTCTGTAAGAGGAAAAAAACACTTAATTAATGACAGACATAGTGTGTAATAACTGTCACTGGATTCTTTTTTTCAACTTTTAGTTCAAATTGCCATGGTCTCGCAAATGATTGGGCTTTAGTGCCTCAATGTTTGGGTTGAAATCTGCTGCAATATGGTATCATTTAAAACATTTACTCAAGTGCACAAGAGAAAATAAACACAAGTGTTAGTAGACTATACTTTTATCTTAAAGGCTGATTGTAATCTGTTGTTATTTTCAGCAAAATGTAAAAAGTAAAGAGAGAGGAAAACACATTGAATGCATTTAGTGTGTTTGTGCCTCTAAATACTTTTCAACTTCCTGCCTTGTCAGAGACTTCAGCCCCAAGCACATTTCGTCTGAAGACCACCTTAAACAGCCTGACCCCAGTTTTTACTGAACTTTACTTTAACATTAGAAAAATAGTGTATGTTTTGGAAAATATTTCATGCCTTGGATTTGGCGCTCTTGTGAGTAAGGCTGTTGGATATAAACTAATTGAAGTGAGTTTTAATAGTGAAAAACAAATGGATGAAAAAAAGTCATTTCTGATTTTTGACTTAAATTTGACGAGCGTAACTGTGGTTTGGCTTTGTAGTAAAGGTCTACAGCATGGCACAAAGGATTCTATCATTCAGGCTTTGGACACAAAGGAAATACACAGGATATTATTGGTTTTGGTATTTACTGAGATTTCTGTAGAAGCATTGGATTTGGTCAATCACCAAATGTAAAGCATGTACACACAAATCACAAGACTCTCCTTTTAAACAATGAATCTTTGTATTAGACTTAATAACAAACTCGGATATTTTTTCTGAACCATCACCATAAAGACATTTTAATTGTTTAAAAATAGATTTCTCCTACCAAACATTTTAAAAGCCTCTGCTTTTTCAAATGTAAAGCTTTTAACTTAAGCTGTACTAATTATTTTTACAAGAAACACTCCCAAATTCCAAGCATTCCTTTTCATTATGTGCATGACTGTCTTTGAAAAGGGCCCCACTGCAGTGAAATGTCTAAACAAAGTACTGTTTGCACCTCTCCCACATACTTAAATTCATGTCTGTCAGTAAATTACAGTTTATACAGTTTTGTTTTTTACCTGTGACAGCTCTGTGAACTGATGTATCAACACTGCCACTTCTTCCGTTGCTCTTTGTCATCCAGAAAGGAGGGGCTTTACGTAACTCTACCTCCACAGGGTAGTGGTCGCTCACCCTCAGGGCCTGTGGGAGGATGCACATAATGAGTGAGAAATGTTGCTACAATAAAAGAGAAACAAGTTATGCAAGTGCAGAACATGTTGGTTATTAGATGAGATTTAACTGTAATAGGTACAGAGACAATGAGATGCAGTATGAGGGGCAACTCACCTTTTCTTCAGTCATAGCAAACTCTTTGTGGAAATGAAATGGCTTGGCTGAGTTTGGCACACAGGCTGTAAGCATATCTTCTCCATACACAACAATCCTGTGGAAAATAAATGTATTCCATTGTTTAAATATAAGGTCAAAAATGCTTCTTCCTGACAGAAATAGTATGCCACAATTTAAGCAATGTCCTCTGAATTGATGGGTGTTTATGAATGAACACATGCCGGTCGTAGGTGTGTTCGTTTGATGTTCTTGCCATCGTGTCCACGTCATCACGGATTAGCCAATGGAAATTCTTGTCGCTGCGGATGCGAATCTCCTGCATCTCCTTAGGGGTGACGTACACACCATCTGCATTGAAATCTCCCAGGATCATTATGTTCTAAAATAAATCAGAAATTGCCATTTTGAGTGCTGATAAAAGAAATGTAATCAAGAAAGCTATGTCAAAACATTATTTAAACATATTTTATAGCCCATACAGTTTGTGTGATTCCTCTGATATGGGAGTATAAAATAAGGTATGTGCACTGATAGAAAAAAACCTGCTTAATCTATTTCAAAATTATAGTAGCTTTTTGCAGGTTATTATGTAGATAAAGCATGACTAGTCTTTGTATAATACTTATTTTGTAAAGCAGACTCAACTCAATTTGATTATTTACAGTAAATCAAGCAATTCAAGTATTTTGCTATGACTTTAAGCTTGACTTTATTTACCTAAATGTTTATATCACAGATTTACCTGTTACATTTATATCCGCTTAGAATACTTTCCACTGTATGGTAATACATCTGGTCCACCTTGAACATATTAAAGCACTTCTTTAAGGTGAAACCGCGAAACTTGAATACTGAACATCATGCAACTCACATCAGTTTTCCATTTGTCTTTGACCACCAGACAGACCTCATACAGCTCATCCAGCTCTCTCTCAGAGTCCCACGGCTTGGTGTGGACCGGGATCAGCACTATGTCCTTCAGCACTGTAACCACAGACACAAACAAACGATCATCTCTCCGATTACATGCCCCGTCACAACGTATCTCACACAGTGGTATAAAGTAACTAAGTACATCTAATCAAGTTCTGTACTTAAGTAAAATGTTGAGATACTTGTACTTTACTTGAGTATATCCATTTTCTGCTACTTTGTACTTCTACTCCACTACAATTCAGAGGTAAATCGTGTACTTTTACTCCACTACATTTATTAACACCTTTAGTTACTTTGCAGATGTGGCTTAATTATGTAAAATGTAATCAACACTTAACTAAGACAATAGTTACACCTGGAGTAAATTCACAAGCTACACAGCAGTATACAAAGTAATTAAAACTATCTGCACCTTTACCAGCTTTGATAACACTTTAATGCATCAATAATTATAATCAAAACATATAATGTATATTATTCTGAAATGGACCAATCTGCATAATGAGTTATTTTACTTCTGGTAAATGTTTATGCTAATATATTAGGATTTGGAATGCAGGACTTTTACTTGTTACTGAGTGAGTATTCCTATACTCTGGTACTTCTACTTTTACTGAAGTACAAGATCTTTTCCCACCTCTTATCTTACATGTGAATGCACACCGGAGCCGTTGACTGACATAACCTGATATACCTGCCCTCTGCTTCGGTCCATATATAGTCATGACTCAGACGCAACACAGGTGTTCAGTATGTCATTATACTTTGATATCCAAACACCCTGTTTTTCTTATACTCATGGTAGGACTGACCTGTGTTGTGTGGTCTAAAGCGGAGAATATATGGTTCTCTGGCAAAGGCATCCATGTCGTTCACTTGGTTGTCTTCATATTGATAGCAGTCAACCAGATCAACAACATCATCCCTTTTAGTGGGACAAAAATGTATTTTAGTGCAGTTAGATGGTAACTTTTCAAAAGTATTAAAGTCTGGCAAAGTGATTTGATCTTACCTGTAAAGGAACAAAAACTGCTCCTTGTATCTGTTCCTCCCCAGGCGGACACTGAGCTGCAGAGCATAGTGATGGGTCGTGTTGACTCTGATAAGACAATCAAGAACGCGTTCGCATAGTTAAAACAACAAAAAACACATTTTCTTTAAAAAAGAAGAAGTAAACTCACTCATTTAGTTCTTTTAAGAACAGTTTGACAGCAGCTCCGGTCACATCCACCACCTCAATAATCACTATGATGTCGTATCGGGACACAATCTACAAAAGACGAAAAAGGACACATTATATTAATGCATGTCATTTGTGATATTTATTTATCTCAAATTGAATAAATTACAGCCTTATCAAAAGCAGTTGTGATTATCAAGGTGTGATCAAGGAAACATTTTACACTTCATAATTCAAACCGCCAATTATTTCTTGTTCGTTCTTGGCTGCATCCCAAAGATCACAAAGAAGTGACATGAACAACACTTTTTCCAAACGACAGCCTTATCGTTATCATTACAGATCTTTTACTGAATAAGAATGTCTACCAAAGAGGAGTGTTACCTTGACAAGAGCTGACAGGACGTCTGGATCTGAGACTTTGGTCTGTCCGAACCTCTGTGCGTTAAACGAGGCGATCTTCATATCTGACAAGTGCTAATACAGACTGTAAAAACACATCTGTTAAATAATTCAGTATTTCTTTATATATATATATAAAAACAACACAGTCACAGTCACAGCTATTCTTCTCCCAGCATTACGCACCTAGAATGAGCAGGTTCAGTGGGACAGTCTTAACTCCAGAATAAAACCACACCTGATGAGAGACTTGTTTTCTCTGTAGGGCTGGTTGTTATTTTAAAGCAAGAAGATGATTGGGTAATCCATCTTTAAAGAAATAGGAGAGTTAAAAGGAGATAAAAGTTATAAAAGATTGTTTGAGACAGCCCAGTCTTTTGTTTACAACCGGGTTTCTCCAACATACAGTACAGACATAACGTTTCACATTGTGTCAGTATGTTTGTAACAGTTCCAACAGGTATTTTAACTGTTAACACAAAGAAAAGGTTGATAACTGATGTGATAGCAAATGTTATCATATTTGTATAATCTCAGGAAGTTAACTAAAAGATGTGTGATAAGGCTCTCACAAAACTAGTATATCTGACAAGGTACATGTTCTAGATATTTGTGTACAGATTATTATTGTCCCCTTTTATGTAGAACCTTATCAATTGATATTTGCCATTTAGCAGCTAGTGTCACCTGTTGGTGAAGGGAAAGCACTAGAGAAATACAACTTTATTTAGTAAAGCACAGGTCAAGAAGTGCTCCATAAGAGTATACATTCTTATACATCAGACCATAAAACAGTAAAAAAATAAAACAGCGGCACTTTAAAAACACACACAACTCCGGACAGCACGAGGTGAGCCAAATGCCATTCATCTGTTTCCTCTTGTGCTACAATGGAATCTCATTTGGGCACAAAGCCAATGTAATTAATTATTCAGATTACACACGCTTTAAACCTTTATCAGTAAAGATTTTGGTTCTTCAATACTTCTTGAATCACATTTCTTCTTTTTAATTTAGCAAGTACCCAGTGCTTTCCTCCAGAAACCCCTTCATTATTATTCAAATGCGGCACACCTGAAACATGGGAGCAGGCTTGAATTCCAGCGTGAAACAATGCAACTTTGACTGAGGGGGTAGGTGGGAGAACAGGTGGTATGTGACAGACTGGTTTACCAACATTGGGGAGCCGCATAACTTCCTTTTCGTGCCACACCCACACCTGCCTATAAAGTAGAACCCAAAAGATGAAGGGATCAACAAACAGAGCTCAACCACCACCTCCATCCCCTCCAGCAGTGAAATCTTCAACCATGAGTATGAGAAGCAAGCGCAGCAGCCGTCCAGGACTAGGCACGTCCTCAGGGGGCTTCAGCAGCATGTCCATGGGATCCTACTCCATCCCCAGGATGAGCAGCGGGGATTATCAGGGGGCTTCCATTAAAGCCGTGACCGTCAACAAGAGCCTGCTCACCCCGATAAACGTCGACATCGACCCCAACATCCAAGTGGTTCGCAACAAGGAGAAAGAGCAGATCAAGGGTCTCAACAATCGTTTTGTCACATTCATTGATAAGGTAAGAGAACATTTCTCCTCAACTCTTGCTGAGGGATTTTGAATGTCAGATTTAATCCAACAATTATATTATCACTACAAAAGATGTTTGATTTGGAGGGTATTTTCTAATTGTGCCACAGGTGAGGCACCTGGAGCAGCAGAACAAAATGATGGAGACCAAGTGGAATATGATGCAGGGACAGACCACCACCTCCTCTTCTGTTGAACCCATGCTGAAGTCCTACATCGCCAGCCTGCAGCAGCACCTGGACTTTCTCAACAATGACAAACACAGACTGGACATGGAGAACAATGTCATGCACAAAAGTGTGAACGACAGCAAGACAAAGTAAGTGCGAAAGAAAATGAACTTCTTTTTAATTTTGAGATGTAAGACGTGTTCTGATGTGCAAGCTTTGCATGATTAATCCAATATACTGGGCTTTTTCAGCTATGAGGATGAGATCAACAAAAGGAATGATGTGGAGAATGAGTTTGTCCTGATCAAAAAGGTAAAGTATGCAGTCCTGGTGGCTATGAGAGATAATTATTTTCTTAACCTGTAAAGAAAGTTTTTGTAAAAACACGGTAAAAGCTTAAACATTAAGAAAGGTGTGTTTGTTTGTTTTCTGTCTGCCCGCAGGATGTGGACGCAGGCTATATGTCCAAGGTGGATCTACATGACAAGGTGTCTATGATAAGTGATGAAGTCAACTTCCTCAAGGCTATGTATGACCAGGTACGCAAACGCAACATTTTTCAAATATAAAGAAAAATATGCAGCTTGTTGTGTTCTGGATTTTCTCTTCTTACCATTGCTGTGTGTATTTGTTTTTAAAAGGAGCTGCGTGAGCTGCAGGACAGCCTGAAGATGACCTCTGTGGTGGTGCAGATGGATAACTCCCGAGCTCTGAACATGGATCAGATCGTGGCAGACGTCAAGGCTCAGTATGAGGACATTGCTGGTCGCAGTCGTCAAGAAGCTGAAAACTGGCACAAGAGCAAGGTAAAAAACTTAAGTACAAACAATGAATAATAATTTATATCATGACATCTGTAGTAAAACCAGTTTCTCAAACTATAAACATGAATGGGTTCAGCAGTAAGCTAAAGCTCGTAAATCTACTAGAAGACCCTGTTTTTTTGACAGGTACCGCCCTTGTCAAACCTGATAATTACTGATCTCATGTCCTCTGTTTGTTATCTGCTGTCACCAGTTTGACCAGATCACAGCCACAGCCGACCAGTATGGCACTGATCTGCGCAGTTCCAAGGGGGAAATATCTGAGCTCAATCGAATGATCAGCCGCCTGCAGAATGAGATCCTGGCTGTAAAGGCACAGGTGAGTGAAAGGTTTATAGATTGTCTGGTATGTTATGAGTCAAAAGCGACTACATTTGTAGTTTAGTCTTACAGTTTGACGGTAATGCTTCCATTGAGCCTTACATTTGATTTGCTGAAAGGTGTAATTAAATTCCGACACCATCCATTCCTGAAATTTTTTCAGCGTGCCAACATTGAGGGCCAGGTAACTGAAACTGAGCAGCGCGGGGAGGGGGCCGTGAAGGATGCCAAGGCTCGCATCGAGGACCTGGAGCGGGCTCTGCAGAGGGCAAAGCATGACATGGCTCTGCAGCTCAGAGAGTACCAGGAGCTCATGAATGTCAAGCTGGGCCTGGACATAGAGATCTCCACCTACAGGAAACTGCTGGAGGGAGAGGAGGAAAGGTGAGTGGTATTGGTAGATCTCAACACTGTCAAGTTCTCATCACATGATATCTGGATATAGTTGAAGGTCAAATAAGGTTTTCGATGGGGGCATTTTTGAAAAATTAAATTGATTTTCAGCCTTGTAATAAATGTCATTATTGGACACAAGATGAAGAGTTACAAAAATATCACGATTGTGCAGCATACCCATTCCACCTTTTTTAACCCTAACCCTAACCTTTTTTTCCTTGTCAAAACCTGTTGCCCACAATGATTTAAAGTAAACTCGACCACCAACAGTTTGGTCTGCTTTTTTCAAGTTGTTGATCTGACTTACATTTGCAAACCTAACAATCCAGTTTGTTTTCATCCATGAAGTCTCTGGTATTTAATGGTTGGTGACACCCACAGTTGTAGTTACGGTTTTCCCCCAACAAGTGGCAACAATGAGCTTATTTCACACTTAAAAACAAACTGTAAACAGACTTTTATTTTTTTAAATGTAGTGAATTCCTGTTAAAAAACAATTATATTCAACATCAGGGCTAGTATTTTTATGTATTTATCCAATTTCTGCTTTCTCACTCATAGAATTGGACAGGACTCTATTGTGAACATCCAAACTGTGCAAAACCAAAGTAAGTACTTTTATACTGGAGATTTTTAGCATTTGTATCAGAATTTTTATGACTGTGTGTAATGTGTGTGACTGTAAGTAACATTGTCCACCATCCTCTCCACAACAGCCGTCCATGTTGACAACCCCAGGCCACGAAGGCAAAGTGCAATCCTCATCAAGACAGTGGAGACCCAAGACATATCAACATGGAACTAATGCAGAAAAAACCTACAATATATTAGCCTGCTGGATCCCCTTGACCATTCAACTCGAACCTTTGCATTAATCTCATTGTAACCTACATTAAGACAGCTGCACCAACTAACCATTACTTCCCCTCCCATTGAATGAAACATGAATGACCACTTCCTGTTTTTGTAATAAAGATGTGCTCAGTTGCATGATCATGTGTCCTTCTTTCGGTTGGGTAGTAATTAATTGCAGTGTATTTGGTTACTCTCTTCTTCAAATCTTCATTAAAACATGATTAAAAAGTCAGCAGTAGCTGACTTGTGTCACATCATATAAAATGCATATAATGTCCAAAAAAAAGTAATAACTGCTATCCAAAAAGAGGAAATACAGCTTACTCTAACCAGCTGCAGACAATATCAGACTGAGCTCTGACCAGAATAAACCAGTTTTGAAACAACTTAATGGCATAACATATTCATAAGTACAAAATTAAAGTACTCATTATTGAAAAGGGACCATTTAAGATATTTGCATTATAATGTTGTATGTATTTTTGCATTGAAGCTGGTAAGGGTGGGGTTCATTTAAGGACTCTATAATATAAAACTGGTAGCTTAATCATTTATTAATACTCTCTCTGGATATAAGGCTGCTAAATAAATACAGTTTTTGAATATAACCAGAATTATTATCTTGTGAGAGTTGGCCTATAAGAAAAAAGATTAATCGTTGGATTCTTGAGTAAATGTAGTAAGACAACAAAACTTAATTTTGGGAGCATAAAAACAGTTGCAAAGTGTCGCAGGACAATTTCTTATTGCGCCACTCCCTCGTCTGCAAGGCAGAGCTCAGGGTTTAATACCCGACTTTATTTCCTGTTCCGCAACGGTTATCGGTTGATAGATAGCTCGTCTGCAACAGCTGCTGCCTTCACAGTGTTGGCGGTACCCCACCATTAAAACAATAACCCGTCTGCTTTCCTTACCGACTGTCTTCTCGAGACTTTCTTATTGTTTGTCTGACTCTGCACTGCGTAGACTGCAAGGTAACTACACACACTTCCGTGTTTTCGAAAATTACAAATGTGCTCTGTTACTGTACCTTGTATGATTTGGTAGACAGATTTTGGAGTCAGGGAGTAACTTAAAGTTAATAACACTGTAATTTATTTGCAGGCATTACATGTTTCTTGCAGACTGTCATTATTGGTTTAACTATATTGTATTTTATGTATTCTCACAGCAATTATTTACACAATGGACAAAGTGGCTGTGCTGACTCACATCCTGAAACCAGAAGTAATTTCAACACTTCTTGGCGGGGAGCTGCCTGTCAGTGTGATAAAGAACAATAGGTACATATCCCTGCTGACTTCTGATGCTCTTGCGACAGACAGAAATGCAGAAGACAACTCCCTTGATCATGCCATCCAAGCGGCTCTGACTGATGAGACCAGATCTGTGATACTGACAGGTCCTGAGGGATCAGGGAAAACCACCGCTTTAGAGAAGCTAGTTGTGGGCTGGGCGAAAGGAGAGCACTTTCAAAACTTTCCTTATGTTTTCCATTTCAAGTTGAGGGAGTTAAATTCTCTCACTGGCAAGCTCTCCCTGGAAACATTACTCCTACACCACCACGGGAATGTCCCTCGTGAGTCACTGCCTCTAATTCTGAAGAATCCTGCAGAGGTGTTGTTTGTGTTTGATGATCTTGATCAGTGCAAACAAAGCCTGGATCCGTCCGCCCACACCCTGTGCTCTGACCCCAGCCAGGCAGCCTCAATGTCATGTTTAGTGGCAAGCTTGCTTCGTGGATCCCTGCTGAAAGGAGCTGCCTTTGTGGTTGCATCCAGGTCAACAGGATCCCTGAAGTTTCTGAGCGGCACCAAGGTGGAGGTGTTGGGGTTTCTGAAGCCTCAAAGAGAAGCATACTTCAACAAGTTCTTTCCTGACCTGATTGCTGCAGGAAAAGCAAGAATCCACATGGAAAAGACTTTGGGCTTTTATGATATCTGCACTTCCCCAAGATTTTGTTGGACAGTTTGTTCTGTTTACAAGTCTCTGATGGATGCTGGTGCTAAACTTCCTGAAACGTTATCTCAGCTCTATGTAAACATCCTGGTCCACCTGATTCAGTCGCTCTCGCTGAACGAGGCCAGCAGCAGAGAGTTCATATCTGCCCTCGGCAAGATGGCTTCTCATTGCCTCCTTGATCAGCATTCGAGTTGCACCGAAGAAGAAATGAATTCCTTTGGTTTTCAACAGTTTCTTACTTCCGTTGGTGCTTTTCTGCAAGTTCATGGTGACCAATCAGAGAGACGTGTCTTCTCCTTCCACTCCAGTCTGATGCAGGAGTTCCTCTTGGCTGTCTCTGTCTTCTGTGACAACTCAACGCCCCGGGGTGCAGAGAAGATGTTGGAAAAGCACAAAAGCCATGCAAAATTTCTGGATCTCTTCTTGTCAGCTCTCTCAGAGCCACTTCAGCGCAGACCTCTGGAGAGCATGCTGGGGGAGCTGAACTCGGATCAGATCATGGATTTCAAGAAGTGGTTTAAAAGCAACTCAGAGCAAACACTGAAGGGATTTCACAAAGAAAAGCACCAACACTGCTTCCATCTGCTTCATCAAACTCAGAATGAGAGTTTGGTGAAAGAGATTATCACCCCCTCAGCACGAATAGGCATCAGCTATGGAGACCTGAGCCTCCAGGACTGTGTGGCTCTGAATTATGTGATCACGTGCCTCGGTGAGCTGGAGCAGTTGAATCTGTACCACACAAGGAATCTGACGGAGGAACAAGCAGAGAGGCTAGCTCCAACTATGACCTTGTCACGTAAGATATGGTAAGTCGAGGTGAGAAATTGACATGTCCAGGCATAATTTAATTCAGCATATTTTATAAAAGATTGCTCTGTTGTGTCTCCAGCTTGTCACAGAGCTCCTTGAGTGCAGGGGCCGTCTCTCATCTGGCATCAGCACTCAGCAGAGGAATCACAAAGGAGCTCGATCTCTCACATTCACACCTCGGAGATGAAAAGTTTAAAATTCTCTGCGCTGGCATCAGAGACTGCAAGCTTCACACAATACAGTAAGATTTAAGCTGAATGCATTCTTTTAAAAATGCTTTACCATAACACACATTTCTTAAAAGCACATTAATAAGTCCTAAACATTTTGCTTTTTATGTTCCCAGACTTACAGTTTGCAACCTGACAGAGGCAATGTGTGAAGATCTGGTGTCAGCCCTGACCTCAGGCAGCTCCCAGCTGTGTGTGTTAGACCTGACCTTTAATGACATCGGGGACCAGGGCTTGACGAAGCTTTGCAAAGCGCTGCAGAGTCCTCTGTGCAAGCTACAGGACCTCCAGTATGTACCTTTTTATAGATTACATTTCTTTTTTTGTTAGATCTGTCTTCTTTTTTTTTTTTAAACCCACCTTCTTCGGTTTATTTGAAGGCTACACGGCTGCAAGTTGACTGCTGCATCCATGGACTCATTATCTGCAGCTTTGTCTTCTGGCCAATCCGAGTTGAGAGAAGTGAACCTGAACCATAACACGATTGGTGAAAGAGGAGTGGAGGCTTTGTGCAAGTCTCTGCAACACCCGCTTTGCAAACTGCGAAGCCTCAAGTAAGACTGACGTTGAAATAACTCAATGTGTATGTGTGCTTTGACACATAAAATAAACGTGTGATGAATAATATTTGACATCCATCTTTTTTGCTATTGATGACCTTTTTGACATCTTTTTATTTTAGATTCTTCGACAGCGATTTGACAGGTTCTTGCTGTCCTCATCTAATGGAGGCCTTGATGTCGGAGCACTGCTCTCTGTCTGAGCTGGACCTGTCAGTGAATGATTTGGGACAGGAGGGGGCGCTGCAGCTCTGCCAAGCCCTCCGTCAACCCGGATGTCGCCTAGAAAAGCTCTGGTAGGGTCCCATGTGTTATCACTCTGTTGACTTTTCAGTGATGAGGTACCACCTTTCACAAATATTTAATATACACCCTACAGCTTACAACGATGCGAGTTGACCGAGCCGGTCTTCAAAGAGCTGAGCTCAGTGCTGACAAGTGGGACTTCTCGACTGAAGTCCCTTGCTGTGGGTATACATGCAGTGGGAGACCAAGGGGTTAAACATCTTTGGGATGCTGTTGCACATCCAAGCTGTCTGTTGGAGGAACTGGAGTGAGTCAAAATAATAAAACAACTATTTTATCACCACATTGCAGTGAGCACTACATTAAATACGTCTGCCTCTCTTGTATTGCAGTGTTGAGATGACCGGTTTGACGGACGCCTGCCTTGAGGACTTGTGTGCTGCTATAAGGGCCAGCAAGACTTTGAAGACCCTTGAAATGAGGAACAACTCGCTGACCGACGCTTCCGTCCCCGCCATCGTCGAGGTCTTGCAGGACAGCGACAACATGCAGGAGATGAAGTAAGACTAATTTGCTCCAGTAAACAGATAAACTATCTTGAACTTTACATAAGGTTTACATAAAGTTTACATAAAGTGGGGAAACATTTAGAACTTGTGTAACTCTGCTTTCTCTCTTTTTTAGCCTGAAGTACAACGACTTCAGTGAAGAAGCTTTGAGCATCTTGGACGAGTGTGATAAAATAAGATACTGAAGACGGATCACACACTGCTAGAGGATCACAAACAGTGATTATTATTTGAGTTCAAGTGATTAAAGGACTGATTAATTTGTCAGTCAACAGAAACATAAGTATTCAATCACTCATTGTATAATCATACGTCAAGGAATATTGTGTTGGGGCACGGCACATTCACTGATTACAACATGTCAAATGTTACATTTTATTTAGCTTTTTTCTCTGCTTTAAATAAGATATCTTTAGGTTTGGACTGTTTGACAAACAAGAAACATGACCAGTTGATAGAAAAGACAGACTATGATACTTATACTGACACTTATTATTGTATATCAAGCAACTAATCAAGAATATAATCAGCAGCAGTTGTACTCATTATACAGTCAAGTTCGCTATATAATAAAAATCCTACACATTGTTCACTGATGCATAATCTTTTATTAAGAAATATTTGGCATTTTAAGAGAGATCTTTGGCTTACTAGAGTAAGCAGTATTTTCAATAAGGCAGATTGCAGTGATTTGTTTTTTCAGCTGTAAATATATTACCATTTTCACAAATAAAATGTAGAAAACGCTTCTTGACAATAGCAGTGTTGACATTCTTTTTCAATTTCATTACTTTGTATACACACGCACAAACACACACAAACACACACACAGCAAGGTGCAGACAGACCACACATATTTCTCTGTCCACTCCTGTAAGCTAAAAACAGATGTAAACCTCACACAGTGTAAACTTGACTCAGTAAGACAGCGCTAAGTCTTTATTCCACACACAAAGTTCCTCTGTGTCCGAGTCCATTCTCCATTGGGACGACAGCAAATGTTTTTGGATGAACAAAAAGTCTTTCAGGAGGTCAAAGTGACGAGGTGGGTCACGCAGGCCCGCAGCAGGTGAATAAAAGCCACTGGAATTGATCCCCTCATGGGACTCAGTGGTCATGAGTGTCTCCATTAGGGTTCCCAGTGTGATTGTTGTCCTTTGGATTCAGAGTCTGACTGGGATTTTTACCGGAACTGGAATCAATTTCTTCGTCCGAGCTGCTCTCGATGTCACTGCGGTCATCTTTAGCCACCTGTGAAACGAACAGGATGACAATTTTACTAACCATTGGGATAGTGATGAAAGGAAAACAACACTAAGGCTGCTGTTTTATATTTGACCTAAATGTCAGAAAGGTAAGGGAAAGATGTGAAGAAGAATACATATGGATTTCAGAAAATACAACCGAGAATCTCTGACTGTTACATGTCTACCAAATGATGCGATGAGAGTATAGCTGAGGCTGATGGGAATATCTTTAGTTTTACAGGTATTTGGTTTTATATCAGAGTATTAAACACATTAATCTTGATCTGATGATTGCGCTAAAGAAAAAGTCAGAGGAAAACCAAGGTTATTATTATTGAGAGGAACATGCAAGTCTACCAGATTTAATGGCAGTTCATCCAAAAGTTGTCAAGACAGTTAACTAAAACAAAGAAATGTCATCCCGCACTAAAGGACACCTCAGACTATCACTTAAGTCATTAGTAGCCATCCTGCGGGGAGGAATAACTTCATTAAAACCAACCCCAATAGTTGTAATGTTTAAGTCAGGACCACAGTTCTAGACTAACTGACCAACATTGCAACAAGGGAAAAAAAGCCAGACTAACCTTTCCCTTGAATATAGCTTTGATGGCGATGCGAGCAATGAGGTAGAACCAGATGATGTGAAGAGTCTGCAGCACCAATAGCAACCCGTTGAGTAACCACCAGGCCTGGTACGGCCCCACAATCTCCCAACTCTCAACCAGAACACTGTAAACAACCCTGCAGCAAATACACACATACAAAGGTTACTGGTTGCTATGTTGCTTTTTATGAAACCAATGTAACAATACTCTCCAATTCCTAAATATGTGTCAAGTAGGGAAAGGTATGTAATTTGGTTTGTAAATAAGCTCTCATTTGACTCACCAGAAAGGGTAGATGACAAGTCGAGTGATGAAAAAGCTTATGCTGAACACCACAAACAGGCCGTCGCATAGCCTCTGGTACTTGGCGTAGTTGGCCAGTTTGGCAGCCTTGGAGAATAAATAAGGAATTGATGGTTCACAGTAATAACATATCACAACAGTATCTCCAGCAATGATCTTGAAGTGATGTCACTGATGGTAGTGATGGATTGGTTTTCCTGTCAGACAGGTAGTGCAGCTCTATGCTACTTGTGCTGCTAGATACGGAAATGCTTGTAATAGATATGTGCTTTTCTCTCAGACAGGTACAAACAGTTGTACAAGTGGCTCACAGTGTCCTGTTCCCATCTTTGTTTGCCTTCATATTGTAAAACAATGAAGTTTAATTCTTCAACAAGTGCTGTAAGGAAAAAGAAAATCTTCACTTCTGAATCTTTACCTCGAGAAAGATGTCGGATGCATCGTGCACACACATGACCAACGTGCCAGCTCTTAGCATGTTGTTGGCATAGGAGAATGTGATGAGGAAGATGGTGGCCAGGTGATGGACAATCATGATAATGAAATCCTGTGATTAGTGAAATGAAAAGACGAAATAAATGAATGAATATGATGCAATGTAATTTTGCAGGTCTGTAAAAATACAGAGAATAATGGGATGAACTTGGAGAGTAATTCTCACTGCCTTTCCCTTAAATCCATCAACAGGCTGTCATGAAACCAACTGAAAAGCTTTGTTTAAAGACCGGTAAAACAGGCTGATAACAGGCATCGTAAATAATGTGCAGCTTTTCATGGTCTAACCTGTTCTGACAGCGCACATTATAATATGCTAATTTCAATACATTGGTAACCTTTTTAATTGTACATCTGCAAATACATTGAGGAAGAATCCTCATTTACAATATAGCAGAGTAAAACATAAATGAATAAATGTTCAAATGAAAATGGAAAAATTATTGAAACATTGAAATGAAATAGAACAATATAATTTTAAGGCAAATTTACAAACGAAAACAAGAACAGCTGGAAGTGAAGTAGGATAACATTAGAAATGTATACTGCCCTGAGTATAAAAATGGCATAATTCTCAGATTGTTTTGGTTGTTATTCAAGGTTATTTTTTCAAAGCTCTGAGTGGATTCAATAAGGGTTGAAATTAAAAGTAGTAGTAATAAATCTTAGTGCAGAGTTAACTGAAGCATGAATGTATAAAATGTCACCGTAACCCAAGACTGATTCTTTCCAATGCAGAGGAAAACACATCTACAGTATGGACAAAAGCAAGTTTTCCCTAATATGCTAAAGTTACCTTCTCATTGATTGATTGAGCAAGTTTATGCAATGAAGTCAATATGAACAGCTGGCAAAACTATTCTGGTAGAAAGGGTAAATAAGAGGCAGTACAACAGTGTTAGTAAGGCTGACTTACCTTTCGTTTGATGTCTATGAACTGGGAAAACATCAGGGACCAATAGAAAGCAAGCTCAGCTACATAGTAGTTGAACTGTCCAGCACTCAGAGGCTTTAGGAGGAGGTACAAACAAAAAAAACACCGTTAAAAGAAGCACCACTGGCTTGCCAACAATATGGTGCTGTACAGTTTAGAAACATAATAAAAGCAGCTGAATATTATAATGATGGAGTGAATAAAAAACGATTTACCTGGAATGGATAGTTGTACCAACATTCTCTGGTGTCCCACATCCAAGGCGACTGACAGAAACAGATACATATGATAAGTTAAACAAAAAACAAGCAGTAGGCTCACATACTTCAATGAAACAGTATCAGTATTGTGCAAAAGCAGTTTGACTCACCACCCACAAATGTCTAATTGCATAGATGAAAATCCCAAAGTAAAAGGTGAATCGCCACCTGAAGTGAAAGAAAAGGGGTTGAATTGGGAAACAACAATGAAACTTGTTCTCTTCTTAAAAGACTAATTTCTAAAGTAATGCTAATGCCTCAGAGAGGAATGTTGGTATCGCTACATGTAAAGTCAGGGGGACACTCCAGTCATTAGGATTTATTTTACGAAAGTCTGTTCAAAACTTTATGGCAAATACAGCTGGGACGTTAAGTCGGCTAAGCCATGGGCAGAATATTTATCATGAACTCAACTCTTTTGATAGATCAATCGTTAAAGTTTGTTTAAGTTCCTGCAAAAATCGCAGAAAATGCATCTCTGTGTCTTGGACTTACAAGAAAAGACATTTAAAGAAGTAATCTTGTATTATAATTAATCTGCAGATCAACAAATAATGAAATAATTTGTAGTTGCAGCCCCAATGGCAAAACATAGACACTGCATATTAGTTTAGCAAGAACTTACATGCTCTCACAAAACTTTTTCTGCACACTTGGCCTGTCTTGGTTTCGACGGACCCGAAACCATCTCTGAATTTTCCGTTCATCCCAGTCCATCTGCTTAGAGAGTCCCTCCAATGTCCTCGTGTCTGGACACTAAAGACGGAACAAATAGAAATGACTTGCTTTCCATAGTCTCTCTTCAACTCTCAAAAACACCACAACACCAGGTATGATTGTCACACTGCTTGAAATGATTGACTACCCTTATCATTATGTCTGTGTTGGTTTATGTCAGTGCAGTAACTTTTACTATTCCAGCATGCAGAATAACATTTAGTGGACTACAGAACAAGTAAGGGCTTTATGTACCGCTTTGGACTGAAACACCTTCTCCAGGACAGCATTGGGCTGAGCTTGTCGAGGCACTCCCGCCTGAATCCGAAGTATTTGGGCACAGGGTTTGGCCACTAGCCTGTAAATACACAGACGGAGGCAAAAAAAAGTGAGAGGGAGGGGGACACAGAGACGGTGAAGTATTAAGAGAGACTTAAACAAGGAGAGAGTCAGTGAGATAAGTTAAGCACGTTGTACAGGTTCGAACAGTTGAACCATTAGCTAGGATTGTCTGAAGGGCTCCCTTCATTGACTTGAACTGTTGAGTTTGCAGTTTGCTTACAAAGTAATGTTTGACTTTGTCTTAGAGGGAGGGGAAGAGGGTACAACAGAGTCTGTAAGGAAGACACAGGCGAGCGTTAGGAGGAATTCTGGGGAATGTAGCACCTAGTCTAAACAGAGCATGAGGACCACCGTCATGTGAGGGAAAGGAAGGACTGCCTCTTACCACCAAATTGATGGGTGCCACATGACCATATGAGTTGACCAGTGTTCATGCTCAGACTCAGCTATTAATTTCAATCTCCCAACAACCCACACTTATCTAGAAAGTTTTCCTAACTTTGAAAAATACTGAATGAATAGAAGTAAAGACTGAGTTTAGGGCCTGCCCTTTCATTTTACTCTGAGAGAAAACCATGCATAACCCCTAATTTAGTTGAACTTTGCTGTAAAACTTCTTGACTTTATGTGCAAGGAAGACTATATCAGTCTTCCTTGCACATAAAGTCTGTGTACTGCATACATATCGTATGCAGTACAGAACAGTTTCAAAAGTATCTAACCCAGCCTCAGTTTCCAATGATCACAAGTAAATACACTAAATGAACTATTTCATGCCAGTTCTTTAAATTTTTTTAAATAACCTTACTATCATTAGGTAGGTGTTTTGCTGAGCAAGATAAACGTGTGTTTCAAGTCATTGGAGTTATTTCATGTGTCATCACCTCAAAGGAATGCTTAAACTGTTATTAGGAGGTTAAGGCAAAACCAACAACAGGAGAGAAGTAGCATTAGCAAGTATCTTTCACATGGACAGGCAGAAGCTAAAGCAGTCCCCATCAATGAAGTCAATGTAATAAAAATTGGTTTGTCTAACGTCTTAGTAACCACATTGTGTGTGGGTGTTTTTGTAATAACACCAGCACAGGATTTTTATTGAAGCATCCAGAGTTGATTCTCTAGTTTCCTGAAAGTTTGCATACATAAGGAATTACTCATTTGCAATGAGTTTGGTAGCTTGTTTTTATTCCTGTATTTTGGAGCAACAGTTGCCACATAGGCTGAAATCCCCCGAAATGTGCAGGCACACAGAGCACACATTCACATAAAATAACGTTACCTAAATATAACAAAAACAAAGGTAAAAGGGTGCGGTTTACCTTTCAAAAAGCATTCTTAGTAGAAAAACGCAAACAGCCAGAGGTAGAGCGTATAGTATGTCTCTCATTCGGGGATACTCCTCACCAGGTGGTGGGCGCTCCAGGTCCGCCCATGTAACATTTTGGGGAAGCCAAAAGCTCTCACTCCAAATCCAGTCTAAAATAGAGGAAGTCATCGGGGAGCAGGAAAATAGTCGAGATCAAACAAATAAGGTGAATCAACCGTGAAACCGTGAAAGTTACTTGTTGAACATCTGGCGGCTTAGGATATTTAAACTGAAACCCTCTGCGGTGATGTTTCCTCCTCCTCTCCTCCTCCTGTTAGCACCAAGAAGAGAGTATCACTTCTGGTTTGTGAGTCAAACTGAACGGACCGCTCGCCTCACACGTAAGAAAAGGCAACACCCACCTCACCGATTAGGCAACTTTCAGTGATGTTTTCTAACTTGTAGGCTGAACACTGTTTTATAGGTTGTAGCCTTTGAGACTGCCTCTTCAGCATTATATTGTGCCTATAAAAAGTAGGGCTTTGATAGGGATTTAAAGGCAAGCTAACTACCATAAGCTAGTATCAACTGAAACCTAGCCAATTTGCAGATGACGTCATTCATTAGTTTAGGCCAAATTAGCATCATAGCCAATTCACAACAACAAAAACAGATTTTCGAGTTGTTTGGTTTTGAGTTACGACACTTTATTTTTTTTAAATGTTTTATGACTCACTCAACTCTGTGACCTGATATTGTGTTCATATTAAGTAGGTTAATAATTAAAACCAGCTTTTAAAGTAACTAGCTAACAAGCTATCAGTTAGCTACACTACATCCTTAGGGTAACGTGTTGTAACGTTTGATCTAAGCTAGCTACGTTAAAGTAGCCTACCTGTCTGATTAGGTATCTCTCTAATTTTAGGATTTTATATAATGCCAAGCTATTTATCTTTTATTTAATTGATTCCAGTGCAAAAGCGATGATGCCATTCAAATGAAAGGAAATGTGTATGGAAGATGTACTAGTCTAATATGGGTCAATTTAGGTTGGGTAACAACACTTTTCACTGCATTTAATATATTCTCTTTCTGCAGAAATATTTTCCAAGCCAGCCATTTATCTTGCAGAAATATACACCCAGTTTAACCTTGCTGAAGCTATTGCAGTCCAAGGAAAGGACATCGAATACTGTCAAGGTTATAATCCTAAAACATATAATTAGTTCAATTAAAACCTCTCTTAGAAAAGTTTCAATAACCTAAACATTAAAACCTTCATGAAGGCACAATCATTTGTATAACCTTGATTTTAGACAGTAGTAGTTTGAGCTAGGTGAACCTGACAAATGTACAACTCAGTGTAGTTATATCTTAATGTTACTTCCTTTCAATAAAACTATTAAATGCCTTTTACATATATTATGCAACATCAAATTCAGTTTTATTGCTGAGGCAAAAAGCAGATTTCAGTCCAGGCTGCTATTACATGTGATGATAACGGGAGTATGGAGTTTGGCAGTTATTAATGTTTTAAGCAAGCCCTCAGAGAGCAGCAGCAACTTTAGATCATGTTGATGATATGAGATACCATATATTTTCTCAGTCATAGAGCAGTTTTGTTTGCAGACCTGTATCTTATTAAAGTTGTGCAGATCTTCCACCTATAAAACCGGTGTGTGTGGCTTTACCCTTCACCTGTCTGTCTAGAGAACACTTAACACTTAACAATTGCGTGCTCTATAAGAGTCTTAATCCACTTAACTGAAGATTCGCTGGTTAGTGTTCTCTCGTGTTAAAAAATCACCCTTGTGGGATGCAGATATACAGTTTGTAGAGATTATAAACATCCTTAAACCAGAGTTAAAGGTTGGAATGGTTGATTATTGACCGAAAACATGTCAATGATTTGCAGCTTTATATCATAAACCTTTACTTCATTACTAGCTTGCCCGGTCAACCAAGGTTGAGTTCCCTTGGACACAGCAAACATTTTAGATGGATTCACAGCTTTTTAGAAACCGGCCTTGGCATATGTCTGTGTCCTTCTCACTGTTGTGTAGCTGCAAACTGATATCTTCAGACTGTAGGGACAGCTTGTCAGTTTCTTCGTTAAACTTGAAGGGTGTTTTGTGTTGTGGGTCTTTAATTTACTGTCGGTTGCCAGGATGACAGTGTACTCCTAACACAGGTAACACAGGTTTTCCCTTTTTGGGCGCAGCATGCTATTCTCTGCAATGATATGCATGTCCGGAAATCAATTGAAACAAGAGCTGTTCATACTTGCTCCACTTAGCCTGCAGCATTAGTGTCACAATGATGACTAATAATATTACCATCTACAATAAGGAATTGTACCGCCTTAAATAGGAAGGTAGACTGAAGTTGAAACATCTTGAATAATGTGAATGTCCCCTAAACCATGACATGCCCCTCCATTTTAAAATCTGAATTACAGCCTTTATGTCTGTGTGCCTTTGTACATTATTTAAGGAATTGCTGATGGGACATGATTAGCGTTAAAAGCTTTCGATCCGGGGGGGAAACATTTATTTGCTTGCATGTAGAAAAAGTAATATCATGCTATTTAATTTAGACCACTGCTTTCTTTCTATAACTGGAATTCGCCTCAGCCTCACAAACTATTCAAAGCACGCTAAAGAGGCGAACAAAGGTATTTTTTGTCCAATTAGCATAACAATACACAGTTTGTTCGTGTGATAGACACAGCACAGCTTCCCTGCTCGGGATTAAATTAAGATCCAACCCTTAAGGCAAATCATTTTGTGCCTACAGCCTACAGCGTGGCAAAATATGAGAGGCTGCAGCACATACGTGACACACACTGCCTTTGTTTATTCTGTGTCATCCTGTAGATTTTTACATCAGTACCAACTGGTCAGAGAGCAGCACGGCTCCCTGAACAAAACCTCTCTGTGTCACTATGCAGCTGCAGCTTCCGACATGCTCTACTCGGATGCATGACCTAGTCGGAGGGGCTTAGGGACTGTACAAAATAGGGGGGTCATTTTTTTGAGGACATTCATCTGACTTACCTCTAGTATAGCTTTGCAACCAAACTTGAAGTATGTGTTCAGCTATATCAACCCTTCCTTAGTCTTTACTGGCTTGAATCTAACAATAGCAGAGAGATCTGGTACACAGCGTCTGTAATCCCCCCAGTGTCCCCCCCCCTCACTGCGTGGACTGGTCCATTTCGCATCTGAAAAAAATCTGATAGTTGGAGGAGAGTTCTTCATGTCAGGGACTGCTGTAGCATCAGAACATAGAGTACTGTAGCTCCTAGATCACCGAAGGTAACATTTCCTCCTATGTTTTTTATTCCTAACCTTTTTATTATTATGTGACCTATTTCTCAAAGAAAATGTCTCAGCAGTTTTTCCACTGCATCTTTTAAAATTACTTGTTTTGTGTTCATAGATGAGCATGCACTTTTGTGTTTACTTTCTTAAAAGATCATTGTTAACCATAATAACAGCACCCATAGTGTATTTATTATCAAGTTTCTTCTGTATTTGATTTGGCACCATAACATCTTATGTGATTTAGTGATTTAGTGAGATACATCCATTTGTTTGTTTACCTCTGTAGTTATACTTTTTCTTTACAGATAAGCAAATGGATGCGAAAGAGCTGAGTGATCCCATGAATAACGTGTCGCTGATTAAAGGTAACCAATCTTATTATTTTGTGACTTGACGGTTTTGCTTTTCAAATGGCTCTTACCTGTAACTGCACATCTTACTAAGTGGCAATGTGAAGAGAGAAAAAAGCATGAGTCACCGGTAAACAGAGTGGCTGTGCCTCTCAGGGCCGTTGTTTGGCTTTAGAGCTGACATTGCTGTAGATGTCCTTGTTTTCGAGGCTGATTTCTCCAGTGTCAACAGCTTATTAGAAGATGGAGTCTCTTTACACAGAGGGCACATTATGTCCCTGTGTGTTAGTGGCTTTAGAGTGGCTTATTAAAAGAGAATGCAATGATTGCTAAACAGAGAACATCAAAAACATACAAATCAACAGGGATCGTCCTGAGAAAATGTGCAAGCATTTTTGTCAGTGAATCAATTTTGCATGAATTGATTTGTCATGCTACACTGCACGGTATAGTGTACAGGCAGCACAAAGCAAACAGTGTCCTCACAACAAGATGATCTCTGTCTTTTCAAAATGATACTGATATTTCTCACAAAAAGAACATTTTGTACCTGTAAATTGATATCACACCTGTCAGTTTGATAAGCAGTTTTGTAGAGATTTGCTGAATACTGTGGACATTCAATGCGAGCATCGCTAATGCTTATTTTCAGTTTTAGTACGCTGTCACATGCATTGGGAAGGAAACTGGCAGTGGGGGAAAGATAGACCATGATGGCTTTAGCCTTCAGCACTTGAGCTAAAAAAAGACTTTTCCTAAAAAAAAATTCCCCTGTCGTCACTTGAGGAAGTGTGATGCTTAATATCCCCCAACTAGTCACAGTGGTATTTTTACACACAGGCTAATCCCATTATGACTCTGTCAGGTGTCACTCTATAATAACTAATGATACTGAAGGTAATACTTTGGGCGCCCTTCTCTTAATCTCATGCTCTCCAGACGACATTCATCACAGAAACTGGAAAAAACCTACGTACAGGAAGCCCACTCACATTCTCACTCATACATATGCATGCATGAGGGAACACACAACCTCATACACACATGCTGGACGGAGCACTGCCCGCCCATCCTTTGTCTGGCACACAGCAGGGTGGTGGTCATGTGCCTGAGTTAGAGGGGGCCACCAGCCTCCAGCAGTCGCTTTATTGCCATTCATTTTAGGGACATTTATCAATGAAATCTGGGAGCACTTTTAAAAATATGTGTGTGTATATGAACAGTACTTGTGTGACAGCCTTGCATGACAGAACAAGTGAAATCACAACAAATAAGCATTTCATGACAGCCTCAGTCCAGCGATGTGTCCATTTATGGTGCACATGCTTGACCTGTCATGACTCTTGTTTTAGCTTCTGCCAAATGTTCGGCCTGGGATGAGGTCACCTCTTTTCTGAGCCATGGTAGATTAGGGGATCGAGATATTCACTGGGAATTGCCAAGCACAAGTATTTGGAGTTTGTTTCCACCTCTAGGAAACACAACAGACCCTTGACAACGTTGGCTAGTCTATTCCCTTTGTGTATTGTTTACAGTAACAAGTTGTTCACAAGCAATGAGGCGCCAGGGATGTGTTTTTTGACGGGATAATGGACAGTTAGGAATGAAAGCTTGGATTAAAAAAATACAGATAATGCAGCTGTGTCTATTTCTGGGTTAGCAATTAGTTTATATAATAGTCCCATTTGATATCTTGGGAAATCATCTAGTATGTCCGCCCTGGTTAAATATGGTAAAAGTGAGTCAGCTTCTATTTTTATAGAAGCTGACTTGCCATCATTTCGGCCTGATTGTCATCATGTTTCAACCTTCACTTTCTAATGACTGTAAACAGCTCCAGTGACTCTGCAGGAAAATAATAAGCTTTAACCTCACAGCTAGATACTCAAATGTAAAAGAGAAAGCATCTTCTAATCTGAGTAATCATTTCTGTTCTGTATTTCACTATCAGATAACTTGACCAAGTCAAACATGGGATCCTCGGGTGACTCAGAGAAAGTTATCCAGCGCTTGAAAGATGAACTTCGTGAAGCCCAGGAGCAAGCCAATACTGAGAAACACACATTTATGGAGCTAGAAGGTACGAATACACACCATTTCCTTCACTTTATGCTGTTCACACACAAAAACCATAAATGAAATCTTTTTTTGTAGGTGTCCTGCAGGAAGAGAAAAAGGGAAATAAGCACCAAGCTGATGAATCTGCAAAACAGATCAAACTTCTTCAAGGTACATCTTTGTGTCTGTTGATAGAACATTTGGTATTTTCTCATAGAAAAGGTCAACATTATTTATTTAAACACCAACCATTGTTCCGACAGGCCAGCTGCGGCAGCTCCAAGATGAAACGAGCACCCTCAGAGGCCAGATGGATGTCTCCTCCGGTTCACGCGACGAGTTACTAAGTGCCCGTGATGAGGTGAAGGAGCTGAAACGTGCCCTGGAGGCAGCCGCTGCTGAGCGCGATCGTGACGTAGCTGCTATCCAGACTAACCTGGCAACCGTCTCCAAGGATCTCGATAAATGGCGCCAGACCGCCAACAAATATGAGCATGAAATTGACAACCTACAGCGTGACCTTCAACAGCAGAGCAAGCAGTGGCAGAAAACTGCAGAAATTCAAGGTACTACAGGGTCTATACACAGAGTGATACCAAATATGATGAGAATATCCATATAAAAGGAAAATAGATGTGTCTGATGCACTAATGACCTAGAAAAATAGCCTTTTTGTTTAAAACATAAATAGACTCAAATTAACACACACTGCTAACGTATTTGTAAGCTAATTAAGAAAAGGGCATCGGCTCAAAGAATCTTACATAAAACATTTTATTTTCATAGCTGGCGAGCTGCAGTCCATGCAGGCAGAGTGTAATGGCCTTCAGAAGGAGTGTGCAATGCTGCGATCTGAAAAACAAGAAACCGTGAATAAGCACCAGAAGGAAAGGAGCAGTCTGCAAAGTGAGTGTGCTTCCCTCAGGACTGAGAGGGAGGAACTCCTCAAGTCTCACCAGAAAGACAAGGCGAACCTGCAGAGTGAATGTGCAGCACTGCGCTCTGAGAAAGAGGCGGGGCTGCAGAGACAGCAGCAGCTGGAGAAGGACCTTGCCAGGTCAGTGCACTTAGCTACGTCACCTAGAGACCATCTTCACCCCCACCTTTGTGTTCCCTCTGTCTCATGTGCTTGTCTCTGTTTCAGTAGGTTTTACTTTACAGTGTACCGTATGCTTTGCATGGTCCCTCACCTATTAAACTCAGTGTTGTTTTTTTCTGGTAGCTCGCATGCCCAGAATGCTGAGCTGAGCGACAGCCTCAAAGCCCTGGAGAGATCCCAGCAGGAGTTAGAGAAGAGGCTGGCGGCCCTGCAGCTCCAGCACCAGCAGGACAGCACCAAGCTGCAAATCCAACTGGAGGAGGCAGACAGCCAGAGCAAGGCTCTGCAGAGAGAGGTACATTCTCCAAACCACAACCAAAGGGTCAAGCATCTCAAAGTCATGTAGAATTACCTTAAAGGTGGGGTAGGTAAGTTTGAGAAACCGGCTCGAGATACACTTTTTGTTATATTCCATGGAATGCTCTTAACATCCCGATAGCAATGAATATCTTAAGTGCTTTGACAAAAAATCCATTAAAAAATTAAAAAGCACGACCAATCATTTTAGCCGGCCCGGCTAAAATAACTTGATGGCCTACCTGCCTGTCAGCCTTCCATCTGTGCACAAACTTATCTCGTGCCCTCATTGGTCATGTGCGCGTTCATGTGTGTTGGAGGAGGGGCTCTGTAAGGAAGTGGCAGATTTTTTCCGGCTGTGTATTTTCAAATTCTAGCGCACTCGAGCTGGTTTCTCCAAAATTACCTAGCCCACCTTTAAGGGTAAAAAAAACCTCTGCCCTCAAACCTGATTGTTAAACATTGTCTACATTTGTTGCCATCCAGTCAGTTTACACTCATGTGACTGAGACAGAAATAGATCCATTGTAACCAGTGCAGCTGTCTACATTGTCTGCAATGGTTACTGCCCAAAGGTTTCGAGTCTATTTTCTACCATTTATACATATAAATAAACATGTATTGTCCCATGAGATATGTCAAAACTGTTCTGAGTGCAGAGCAGCTCTGCCGCTGTTCTTGAGATGTTGCTTTAGAAACTTAATATTTACAAGGTGATACAGTATTTATCAAACTTCCTACATGCACACTGAACAAGGGCTTAAAGGTATCCTTTAAAAGCTAATAAAATCCAACTTTTATGACACACAGAACCATAAAATGAAATAAAAAAAATCAAGGATAAAGACTGCATAACCAGTATGTCTTGATACACTGCTAGGGATGGGTATCGTTAACGGTACTACTACTTTTATCGATACCGCTTATCGATCCGGTCCTTTAACGGTACTCTTATCGGTTCTTTTGGAGAAAAGGATATGGTAAACTAACTAAACAAATTGTGAACAAAATTAACATTGCTGTTTATTTAAATTAAATAAATAATATTTCACATCAAAAGAAACAGTGTTTTAATAAATCGTATTAAATAATGTGATGACGGAACTGTAAACAGAATTGCTGAAACTTTAACAAAATAAATAACTCAGTTACCTCTAATCATTAACCCATGTTTGTATGATTTAGTTAACTCTGTGTATTGCTGCTAGCATACATAATACCGTGTGTGTGTGTGTGTGTGTGTGTGTGTGTGTGTGTGTGTGTGTGTGTGTGTGTGTGTGTGTGTGTGTGTGTGTGTGTGTGTGTGTGTGTGTGTGTGTGTGTGTGTGTGTGTGTGTGTGTGTGTGTGTGTGTGTGTGTGTGTGTGTGTGTGTGTGTGTGTGGTGTGTGTGTGTGTGTGTGTGTGTGTGTGTGTGTGTGTGTGTGTGTGTGTGTGTGTGTGTGTGTTCTCATCTCTCATCTGGATTGGATAGATCGAAAATACAAAATAATCATAGACGCATTTTGCAGTCTTTTTGCGAATTAGAAACAGAGTTTGCGACACTAAAACTGCAATATAATGTTTGTGTAGCAATAATACATGACATATGTTTTACATGTCTACAGTACCGATAAAAAGACCGATAACGTCGGAGCTTAACGGTACCACGGTCTTTAATAATTCAGCCCCGGAGCCCGTTTAATACCGGGGCTCGGTACCAATCCCTGTGGCATCCATCCATCAAATGTAGGATATGCCACCTTTTATATGGACATCTAATCTTTATTGGTGGTAAATGTAGGTCATTAAAATATTACTCAGTGTGTGCTTTATAACCAAGAAAGCTAGGTTTCCCTTCAGGGTCACCCAGCCCAGGACACAAAAGAGCCTTTATGTCTTCAACTAATGGCTCGTAGATACTACTACAACTAAGTCTAACTAACTGAAACTGTCTTGAAGTGAAAGCAAAACTCCCAGCTCATCTCTTAAAACAACAGATTGTGAAGTTTAGAGCATTCTCCATTTGAAACAGACCTCGGCTGTGTGCTGTTGGCAGTGGCGCTCTGCTGTATGCTCCCAGGCAGGTTTAGCAGGCTGGATGTGGGGGGGATCAACCACCACTGTGACTCTGAGACAGGAGGGCCACTGTTCAATAGCAGAAAGCCGAGATGAAGTCATCCTTAACCACAAGTCATTCATCCCTATGTGGTGTGACTTTCAGTCGCTGAATAAGAGTTGAACCTGAGAGCGCTCTCTGTGTGATTTACCCGTCCTCTAATGCCCTGTCAGACAAAGCATGGGGGGGGATCTGTCAACACATTAAATCAATCATTGATACATAAGATGGCACCAGCATAATCATACATTTAAATTAAAGTCATTTGTTTTGTGTTTAATTTAAAACTATTTGGCTTTCTGCAGTATGAGGAGGCTAAGACGGAGCTGTCAGACCTGAAGGAAAAGTATGAGAAGACTGAGCAGGAAAAGCAGTCAATTACAGATGAGTTTGAGGAGTGCAAAGCCAACATGAAGGAGTTGCAGGAGAACGGGACAAAGGTGAGTACTGGCCTATCATACACTAAGAAAATCTTATACAATCATTTGACATAAAATATATATTAAAATGCCCTTGTTTAAAATAAACAGCACCATAGCTTTTATTTGCATAAGAAGCAAACACATTTTGATCTTAGAAGCATGAGCTTTGCAACAAAAGTGCATTAAACATCTATTTTATTTTGTGAAAGATCAAAATTGAATATTTTGTTCAATTCATGTTTTTTATTTTTTATTCGCAGCAGTGCACCTGCTCCCTTAAACGTATCCACTGTATCTTACTGTATTAGACCATGACAGCTGTGTGTGACTTATGAGATTTGTGTAAACATCAATTACAAACACAGAAGACTCACTCAGGGGTTTATTAATAAAGCTACGCCCAACTAAAGTATGTCCCGTTGCAGATGATTACTGTAATATCCCTTCCCTTCTGTAGACATCCCTTTTGCTGCCTGTTCAAGCCATAGTCATCGGCCTTATCCTGGCTTTGCTGTATTGGTGCTTCGGCGCATTGTGGTAGTAAGGTACACATCACATCATTGACCATCCTGTCAAATCAGCCTACATCTTTCATTCTCATCAGTGTTTCTAAGATAATTGCATGACTTAATCAAGTTTTCCCTATTCCCCAGAATGCCTCCCATTGGGGAAACTCAAATAAATTCTCATCTCAGAGACTCTAACCTCTCTAATCACACAGTCCAAACATCTGACATCTGTTTGTCTTGTCTGGATGGCTAATGCTTAACAACTGTTTCTCTCAGTTTGCTTGGATGGGCTTATCTTTACCTGAAAGAGCTGTTTCTAACCTGCCTTCTTTGTGCACTGCATTGTTTTCAATGGCAAGCTCATTCTGTCAAAGCTTCAGCGGTTCTATGATGATGATATTGAGCCGTTTCATGAAGCGATGCTCATGTTCTCTTTTCTGTCACCACTTGTTTCAGAAACCGTGGTTTATCTGGGGACCTGTGGCTGCTGTGGCTCTAACAGCTGTGGCTGCTGCTCTGCTCCTCAGGACCTGAGGGACACGTGCTCAAACACACACAAACATAAACAGAGAAGTGAACCCATAATTGTCATCAGATTTCTCCGCACTGAAACTGAAAAACGTGCCCTCTATCATATCTGCACTATTAATTAGGAGGGCTCATACTTAACACTGTTTAATTTTTAAGATGCTCTATTTTAGATGATAGAGATGTTAATAAAATAATGTTGTTTTGTGTGCAAATGAATACGTTTGTTTGTATGCCTATTATTATTATTATTATTATTATTATTATTATTATTATTATTATTATTATTATTATTTGAAGGAAACAAGGTTGAGTTGTTTTTTTTGTCTACTATCATAACTAAGGATAGGATAGGATTATCCAATAATGAATGTAAAGGTACGCTACAAAGTTATTTACTTTAAGATGATGATGATGATGATGATGATGATGATGATGATGATATTTTAAATGGATATCCTAGAGTTGAACCTCCCTAACTGTAACACATCTCTGTAACTGTCCGAATAATAAATATTGTCACAATAATGTAGCCCCTAATTGAATGCATGATAACTGCCCTTGATACGTAACAATTCATCAGTCTGTGGTGATGGTGGGTACCCCTAAGAAAGTACCTCTTATCACCAATATTTGTAATAATGGATATTGACATGACAATATAATTTAAATGCATGCCATATAGAGCATTGTATCTTACCAGTTACTGACATAAGCAACTGGTGTAATACATAACTATCAATACTTTATTTGGTATTCATTCAGAGTTTAGTCATGACTACATATTTGCATGCATTATGATTTTGTAGAAAATCTCAAATATATCAAGGAATATATACTGTATATATTAATTTGCTGCTTTATATGTGGTTTACTCAGTTCCTTGTAAATAAGAACCCAACAAATTGACATATACAGTTTATTGTGTTGAATGGTTATGAAGAACTGAGTGACCTCATTTAAAGATATTAACTTTATAATTGCACCATGATAGTCAATGCATAGTAAGCAGGCCGTCTCTAAAGCCACCAAGTTCTATGGAGATGTTTGCCATTTACTTCTGATATTTTTCCAGGAACCCTGGGTCTGAAGTGCTCGGTTCTTCTGTGTATTGCCCGATAATATTAGGGGAAGGGATCTATATTTGTAGAAATATGTGTGCTTCTCTTAAGCAAGATAATGTGTTCAGTTACAACTATCTCACATTTCCTGTTTTGCACCCTTCTGATAGCTCCTTGTATTTCGGATGACATTCAAAGAACCAGGTTGAGGTTGAAGGGAGTGTTTTCCGCGGGGAGTGAGGTTTTTTCTCAGGTGAGAACAGGGTGTGCGTCCGCCGGCCCACAATGTACTGCGGAAAAGAATTGAGCGTACCAACAGCATCCCCAGTGGTACAAAGAAAACACACAATGTGGTGCCATACTTGGCCTGTATGACTGCAGGGCGTGAAGCCCTCCGTGCGGTTACGCTTTTTAAGCATGTACACACTTATAATAGGTCTGTGGAGGGGGAGGCATGTTACTCAACAGGATGAGAAGCTTGTTGCTAAATTTCCTATTTTGCAATGTCTTATAAGGTCATAGTTCCAGAGCAAATCACTGACCACATGAAGGGACATGACACATATTTCTGTGCCACATTGTAATTTATTTTCCGCAGAATCCGCAGTCTTTGCTGTGTCAAGGATCTCTCTCAGGATACAAATTGACGTGCAGGATGATGCAGCTAATGTGACGTTAGATTCAGACAACCTGGGGATGACATGTGAGCAGCCTCTTCGCCCTATATAAACCCAAATGTGAGAATCATTCCCACGCAAGCCGGGCCTCTCTGCAGAGTTGCAGTGTCCATTTATTCTGCTCTAGTTTGTATGTAGGTCATCGGCAGTGGACCAGAGATGCAGCAGAATGGCAGTTGCACATTGCATTAGATGGCCGTGTAGTGTGATCTTGGACTTGATTTTTCTTAAATTTACATTGCTACTCATTCATGTTGAAGTCAATTTATTATGTAAGTCATTTATTTAACTTTGTACATGTAAATCCTTTCATCCAAACATCACCCCCACCCCTATTAAGGAACTTCAGGAAACAGTGGTATGGACCTTAAGTAAGCAAATATTAGAATACAAATAAAAAATGGTTATTTAATGAATAGTTTTGTATTATACTCACAATACAGATTTAATACAGATGCAACAATAAATAAAAAGAAGAAGATGATTGGCAGGTATAATTCTGAGGTATACACTTTACTGTGTATTTGAAATGTTGTTTGTGGCTTTCAGGGATATAGAATTCACATATTTTGTTTTTGTTTCTTTGTTTCCAGTGTATTCATTTAATGAGAATTGTATGACATAAATGTACAAAAGGTACATTAAAATATGGCTTTGGTCTACACCTTGTTCAGTTTGCTTTGGTTTGAAACTCTTCCAGACGTATAATGACTCATTATTGTGCAAATCTGGAGGTGCAATGTTCGTCCGTTTTGTTTCTCTTCCCTTTAGTAAAGGAAACCTCAAAGTGGCTGTGAAAAAGTCTGTTCACTATTCCCTCAAAGCTTCACTGTCAACTGAAGCAGAGCTGACATCTCACATGCTGTGGATGTCATGACACCCAGTGGTCTGTGCAAAGAAAAGCCCTGGAATTTTGCCAGTTATCTGATGTTTTTCCTTTTGTGAACCCTTAATAAATGGTCAATAATCATTATACTCACCAGTAAAATCCTTTACTGTAGGTTTATTGTGTTCACTTTACTGACTTATAGTATTAAAGGCTGTAAATAGTTTATTTATTTCACAGTGTGTATATTTTTATAGTGTACTGCCTGGACTGAAGCAACGATCGGCCTGTTGTACGTTCACTTTAAAAGATTGACCGAGTAATGTGGCCCGGTTTCATCCAATGATGAGTAATAATCAATGAGTTTATCCAGAGCAAACTGCCGGGACTAACTACACTCCACAATAATATGTTTCGTTTTATTCAGCGTATCAGTAAGATCAGTTGACTATTCATGCTCTCAAAGCATCAACAGCACCTTTAAATGAACTGCAACCCGTAGAAGTAATCAACAGAAACCCAGCGATCACATGTTTCTGCCTGTGAGTCACAGGGAGGGAAAAAACTCATCCTAAAAGTAAGTTTTTACAATTATGAAACTGTTTGTCATCACATATAAAGATATTCCATATGTTATTTTGAGTTATTTAGCAACAAAACATTGTACATAAACTGGCTCTCCCCCTCCCCCAACATGTGATGCTTAAGAGACACTGCATGTGTTCAATGCTTTTGTGTGCTGTGTTTTTAGGTGAGCCATGGCAGCTGATCTGGAGGTGGTGAACTTGTTTATCATTGCAGGGGGAACACTGGCAATTCCCATCCTGGCTTTTGTTGCTTCTTTCCTCCTCTGGCCCTCTGCACTCATTAAGGTGTATTACTGGTAAAGTCAATAACTCTGTTGTTTGCCTTTCCATTTATATGTTTAATACCCCAGGGGAATTCTCTCATATGAGCGCCAAATAATAATTGTAAACAAGTACCAATGAAACAAAAATACACTACACACAATAGGCCTACATTTAATCAACCATTATGCCTCAGTTTGGCATTTTAATTTAAAATGTTTCAATCATCTTAGCTGTGTTAATGTGTATTGCATAAAATATAGCCTGGTTTTGATTTAAAAACATGTTTGGCAGCACAGTGTTTTTTTTTGCCAGCGTTGTTGGTCACCTACATTTTTTACACATGTTAGGTTAATAGTTTAATGTAAAATAGTGTTAGTTTGTCCTTCACGGAGATTACTGTGACCTTTATGGACAAAGATGTCTAGTCTATTTCTTTTAAATTCCAAAATCCAAAATGTGTCTCAACATGAAACCCTTAATGTTTTCAAGCATTAGCATTAAAGAAATTGGCAGCTTGAATTCTTAAAAAATTGCATCAAAGCTCATTATCACTTGATAATGTATGTGACTGTGTGTATAAGCGTGTATGTACCTGCTCCTCTTCAGGTACTGGAGGAGGACTCTGGGCCTGCAAGTGCGCTATGCAGACTGTGGTGGTTATCGCTTCTGTTACGCCTGCAGAGGAAAGCCTGGGATGAGACCATCTATTCTAATGCTGCATGGCTTCTCTGCTCACAAAGACACATGGCTCAGTGTTGTCAAGGTTAGTGCACTTGTCACTGATACACAATTATTGTCATTCCAATCATTTCTTGGCGTTTCTTGGTTCCATGCATACATAAATGGTCTTAAGCTATACTTTCTCTAATCTCCTGCTCTAGTATTTACCAAAACATCTGCACATAGTGTGTGTGGACATGCCTGGTCATGAGGGAACAACCCGGACTAACACGGAGGATTACTCCATTCAGGGCCAGGTCAAAAGGATCCATCAGGTAAACCGAAGAAAGATTAATTAATATTAAGCTTGCATTTCTCAGGTACCCAGAGTCCTTCCACTTAATATCTGTTTTTGTCTTTATTTCTTCTTAGTTTGTGGAAACCATTCGCTTAAACAGGAAACCTTTCCATGTGGTTGGAACCTCTATGGGGGGAAATGTAGCCGGGGTTTACGCAGCCTGCTACCCAAAAGAGATCTGCAGCATGACTCTCATTTGTCCAGACGGTCAGTCACTCTGTATGTGTGTAAGCGTGTGTGTGGAAAGAATACCGGTACATATTGTTTACCCTTAATAGGCTCTCTCACATCTTATAAGGCTCTGGAGGGAGCTTTTCAAAGTTTGACAAAATAACCCTGCTGATGTCATCGTGACATTGCAGGAAACCCGCGTTACAACCAGGTGTGGAGATTGAAAGATGTGGGAAATTACTCAAAAGGATCCGACTGTGAACCTCGGCAAGAACGGATGTCCACCAGATCCATAGCATCTCTCTGCCTATGACTTTGAGAAGTTTTCACTAGATTACCAGTATTTTTAAAAGTTGTAACATAATACTGATTATTAATAGTTAAAAGACAAGACATGATATTATGACACACACCCTTAATTGCTTCCCTTTTTCTTTCTGTGTATTGTTCCAAACTAAATACCAGTTAACCTTATCACCTTCTTGTCACCTATTTTGTTTTGCAGGTATAAGACACCCCTGCGAGACCAAATTTGACAATCATCTGCAGGACCTGGAGCACAGCAATTACACACTGAACATCCCGCTGATCCCGACTACCCCCGAGGAGATGGAGGACATGTTCAGACTTTGCTCTCATGTCCGCTTTAAAATCCCACAGCAGGTCACAATTTAAAAATGAAATTCAAAATCATTGTGGATTTCCCTTTGCATACACTCTCAATCAATGATTACAGAAAATATACATAATAATAATCACCTTACTGCATTATTTAACGGTTGTGTTATTTATTTATTTGTATGCATGTGCTGTCATTATTAGATTCTTCAAGGTTTGGTAGATGTTCGGCAGCCTCACAACACTTTTTACGAAGAAGGTTCGTTCCCAAATTCTTAGGATTTCCCATGTAAGCATACAGTATAGTCCATATAAGTAAACCTGCTTTTCTTTGATTTAGTTTTTATGGAGATTGTTGGTGAACCATCAAGATATGCCTTACAGGAGCACTTACATCTGATAACTGCACCTTTACAAGTAATATGGGGGAAAAAAGATCAGGTAAAGTATGATGTTCCAATAATACAGTGTGATTACATTCAGATATTGCTTTTAAAACAATACTTAAATGAGTTGCGTGGTCGTATGTAAAAGATGGTTGTGTATGAGTTTAAATGCATGGGTGCATGTGCGTTTAAGAAAACATATGGATAGTTTATATATGTTTTATGATGCATAATAATCTATGCATACCATCACATTAAAATAATGTGAAATCTACTTCTATTCAGTTTAACTGTGGACATGAAAGCCAATAAACTGAAATGTCATGTTGTTGTATACAAACTTGTAACCTGAAGGAAACAGCTCAGGTTTCTCAAGCTACTTGGGCCTGAATAAAGATACTTCAGTTGCATATCTGCATAAACATAATGTCTATCCTGCATTTTTCCAGGTGGTGGATGTCTCTGGAGCAGCAGTCATTGCAGAAGTGTTACCTGGATGCAGAGTGGACCTGCTGGAGAACTGTGGACACTCTGTGGTGATGGAGAGGCCTTGTCGGACAGCCAAACTCATCCTAGAGTTCATCATCCTGCAACAAGACACCAGGGGTGGCACAAAGAAATCCTACTAAACTCAAGCCTTGCAAGTTGCAATAATGTCCTTCCCCTGCAATGCTATACGTGCTTCCTGTACGTATCATGCATGTAAACAGTCAGATATACGTGAAAAAGTATGTACACTAAAAGCAAGGTTGTTAGTGTTAAAGCATTTCTTGAAAGTGAATTGCGTTGAATTTGTAATGTCAACCGCATCATGATAATAAAGGTGCCATGCATTTATCAGTGTGTGACTGTTTGTAGGATGTGTGTGAATGTATTCATGCAGCAGAGGTGCCTCCTGGCTGTCGTTGCATGCAGCAAGATCTCCTCCCCTGACCCCTCCTCCTCCCCAAATCCCCTCCTCCCCTCCTCCCCCTTCAATCACCCTCCTTGTGTGCGCAGTTTTGCTGCAGCCTGGAGTCGAGCACAGCTGCCCGGGTACGACCAGAGGCAAACATCACTGACTGTGCAGTTAAACACGAACCGCAAGCTGCTGTAATCTGGACACAATAACAAGACAAATAACCGAGAAAGCCCTCCGGTAAGGCTTTGTTTAAACGTCTATGTTACTTCCCGGTAGTCTAATTTATTAATAAATTAATCCCGACGTCAGCCGTAGTAGCCGTACGGCAGTTAACGTCAACGGCTCGTAGATTGCTAACAGTTAGCTATCTTTGCTAGCTAGCAAACTATACGACAAAACGTTTCCACTGTTTTACACAATAATATCATGCATCTTTTAAAATGCATTTTGTTCAACTCGTTTGCCAACTTCCTTTATTTTCATAGAAAAAATGAGTAAAATGCAGCAATACTGGAAGGCTAAGTAGCCTTCCAGTATTGCTGCATTTTACTCGTTTTACAAATAATGACTGTTGGTTAAACAGAAAGAACACTGAATATTTCTTATAGAAACGTGTATTCAGTTTAGAGTTACAATTCATGTATCTTGCATAAATTGACTGGAAATAACATAAATCCCAAATGCCTGAATAGTGTTTGTTCATTTAATCCACAAAGTGAGCACCAGTCGTTTATGCAAAAAGATGATTGTCGTCATGATTGTGTCAATCATATTCTGCATATCTTTGTGACAGCTCATGTTAATTTGACTGTTTTTCCACAGGTGAAATTGAATTAAACCAAAGCGTATCTGTCCCTTCTCTATTTTGGTTCTGACCAAGTGGGTATTGTTCTACAAATGGATAATGGAGACTGGGGCCATAGGGTAAGAGATGGATAGAAATCAGACTAGAATAAGAGGTTTATTTTTTAACAGAAAGAAAAGTTAAAATCACTCTGTTGACAGAGTAGTTTTACATCTAGCATCTAACAATGCAATCACATAACTTCCCTGCAGTAAGGTTGAAATGTTGGGATTGTATCTAAACAGATGTAGTGAGGTGTTGATTTAACCTTTTTGATCATTTTAGAATCTGTGGTGCTGTTGAATTGTGTTGCATTGTGTTTTTCCAATATCTAATCTCAGAGATATGTTAGAAACACTTCTCACTATAATGCAAAACATTTTTACACACAGTACGACAAACTACATGATTTATTGCAGGGGCGTTGTATTGAACTCCATTTATTTTAGCTAGTTTGGCAGCTGAAATTCACACAGTTCATGTCATTGAACTACTGTACTACTGTATATAGTAATGCACATTTAAATTTTTTTTTTTTTTTTAATTCTTATCCTTATCTTGTTCCTCTTTTGTTTTAGATGAGTTCTCCTGTTACCTTGAACGTGGGAGGTCACATGTACACCACCAGTTTATCTACCCTGCAGCGCTATCCAGACTCCATGCTGGGTGCAATGTTCCGGGGAGATTTCCCCACTACTCGCGATTCCAAAGGGAATTATTTCATTGATCGTGATGGGACACTTTTTCGGTACATCCTGAACTTTCTGCGGACGTCTGAGCTTACCCTTCCTGCCGACTTCACAGAGACAGACCTACTAAGGAAAGAGGCGGACTTCTACCAGATCGAACCGTTGATCCATTGCCTTCATGACCCCAAGCCTCTGTACCCTCCCGACATCTATGAACAGGTCGTGGAGCTCTCAAGCACTCGGAAACTTTCAAAATATTCAAATCCAGTCGCTGTTATCATCACACAGCTAACCATAACTACAAAAGTTCACGGCCTGCTGGAAGGTATTTCCAACAACTTCACAAAGTGGAGCAAACACATGATGGACACCAGAGACTGCCAGGTGTCGTTCACCTTCGGACCATGTGACTATCACCAAGAGATTTCACTAAGGGTTCACCTCATGGACTACATCATGAAACAAGGATTCACCATCCGCAACACCCGTGTGCATCATATGAGTGAGCGTGCAAACGAGAACACGGTGGAGCATCACTGGACTTTCTGTAGACCAGCTCGCAAAGTTGAAGACTGAGTTAAAGCACAGTTGTTGTGCGTGACACTGCTGTTTGATTTGACTTTATATTACCCATGTCCTGTTTAAACAACACATTTTGAAATCTGTTGCAAATGTCTGTGTCACTAGTAATAATTTATTTTTCTTTTGACCAAGGTGGTACAGTGGGACAAGGCTCAAAGTCCAGGCAAATGGCATAAAAACTGTGGAAAATAGGAATTCTCTATTTATTCACCTCCAATTGCAAGAAGACTTTCTTAGTTGTACTACCACTACTTAAAAAATGTCCTAATTGACGACTATGAGTATAAAGATTTTTGTTTGAAGCAGAAAGACCCCATATACAAGAGCAATGATTTTTATTTTATTGTATTTATAAAGGGACACAAGAATACCCCAGATATGCTCAAATGTGGAAATCTTGCTTTTTCAAGGAATAGTTTTGATCAAATGTGGTTTAATATCGGCAAAATGTTATTCCGAATTCAAGAATAATTGATTATTAACAGGTAGTCATGCTTTAAGACTGCCTACACATAATGGTATAAAATCTACATCTTAACATCAAGTTGACTTATGATCCCAATTTTAAGGGGAAGGGGGATATTGTAAAATGATTGTTCCTCGTACATAAGCTGTCTTGGTCATGTTTTGGACTGCAGACACTAAACAAATAACTGTTTTGAATCCTGAGTTGTCAGGAGTGAACCTTTTTTTCATAATAAATTATGATTATCTTTAGCCCAATTTATAGTAGATCTTAAATAAGTTTCTTACCTGTCTTATCTCCTTGTATGGTACTATAATTGAAGACCTCTCGTCATTGTTGCATGTGTCTGAGGGTCTTGTGTTTGTATATGTAGTTGTGGGCTTTGCAGTATTATGTCATACTGTTACAGTTTAGAGCCCATATCAACAGTGATGTGTTTGATCATTCCAGCCAAAATAAAACATGTATTTGTCAGTTATTTGCATTGCTTTATCCAATTACACTGATATTCGACAAACAGCTATTTAAACATCTGCACTATGCTTTAATAATTTCTCTGTGTTCATGATAATACAATGTATAACATGTTTAAGACACAAAAAAGGAAAACATTATGATAATCCCAGGTTATTGTTAGTTTCGTAGCTACTTTTGGCAGCAACCAGGTGACAAAAAAAGTATGAAGGTACCTTCAATATTGAATTAACATGTCATAACCACTCATCTAAGGTCTGCCCTTTATTGACCAAAAGCTTTGACATAATACTGATACACTAGTCTCCTCTACTACATATCATGTAATTGCAATTATTTATTTATGGCAATTTCACGACAACTAATGACTTTCAAAAATAATAAATTGAGCCAAATGTCTAAAAAAAAAAACGATGATATTTTTGTGTTTATAATCGTATTTAAAAAGCTTTTTTCACTCTGAAATGCAATTATTTATCAAATGTCTGCACAGGAAAGACATTTGTAAAAACGATTATATTTTTGCGACCTTTAACCCATCTTTCATATGAGGAGAAAACCTGCCCTTCTCAACTGTTTAATCGTCGGATAAAACTATGTTTTAGTTCTTTGCATTCATTTTGAAGTGTTACAGCGTAGCGCTTGACACCTAAACACAACCGGATGTGACGATGTTTCCTGGGTGCGTTCGTTTTAAGCTCCAGCTACCGTAGAGTCCTATATATTCTAGAACGTTCTGTTATTTTTCTTTACTGCAGGTAACAAAACGAGCGCACCCCATTTCTCACGTCCGTTGATCTTGTAACAAGCGTAAAGGACATGTTGAGGTTCACGCTTGTTCACTTTGAAACACCATAGTCCCTCCCCCCTGCATTATAAACAGTTTTATCTTGACATTACCTGTTTTGGGTAACATATCTGTTAGCCAAAATGAAGAGTAACAACATACAATATTTACTGAGCCTTGTCCCAGGGAAACAAAGTCTAGGGACGTACAGGTTTCTCCCCATCTTCTTCTGCATCGGAGGCGCCATGGAGTGGATCATGATCAACGTGAGGATAGGAAAAGAGACTTTCTGTGAGTGTGAATCTAGTTCGTTTCTAACATTTAAACTTCGTGTTTAAGCTAGCTGACGTTAGCATGACAGTGACATCTGTTTGCTCATTGCCTTGGTATGTGAGTTATATGATGAGTGTTAAAGGCTTTTAAATGTAAATAAGAGCATTAGCCTACATATAACATGATTCTGTTTACGTGACGTAGATTGCCATGTTGCACGTTTAATTAACGTGCAGTCTGTTTACAGTTGCCTAGGACTGTGCTTGTCTGAATATGTGGCACAAAGCAGCCTTGTTGACATTTCACATGTCCTCAAACTTTCCTCTCCTCCCCACTCTCATTAGGAAATATTGAAAAATGGAGAGAAAGGTGGAAAAAGTATTTATAAATACACACAGCACAGTCAGTGGGTCCGACTATGGCAGTGCATGTACAGCTGCTTACAGAAAAAATAAAATCCACAATATAGCTTTACATTCTCTCAGTGTTGATAATTAAATATATTACAACAAAAATCCCAGATGATATTGTTATAAAAGTACCCCTCAATTAGAAATGTTACAGAATTGTATGTACCCAACGAACTGAATGCACTTAAAGCAATACATAGTATTTGTTCAAATTAAATGTGGTCCCTTTCAATATGATTTATTGTTATAAATATTTATTATAATATAACTTTATATTAAATAATGATGTGTCCAGCGCTTCATATCACATATTGATATTTCTGTAGCAACCCATGTAGAGAGTTAAATGCTACTGGATCCCTCAAACATATTTAAAAAGGAAAATGCACCTTATGTGTACTCTCATTGAACTCGCATTCATTTATTCCAGATGTGCTCAAATGTGCCAATTCAGCAGAACTAAAAGGATTCAAAATTCTTTGGTGTTTAAAAAAAACACCAAAAGAGGTGGGGGGAAAAGCTGCCCTGCATATTTTATCCTGTAGTTTTCCAAAGCCAGAACAGACTTCCATCTGTTATTTTCATTCCTTGAACCCGTAGCCTTTTCTGGAGTTGCAAACTTTTTTTATTTTGCAGAATAACTCATATGTATGTTTTTTTCATAGAAGAACATTTAACTCGACAATCAAGAAAAAGCATGTGGAATGTCTCATTGTACTTTCTTTATTCTGTTTTCTTTCCAGATGATGTCTACCGAAGAAAACAATCGGAACGGGACTATGAGAAGAAGATCGCTGATGGTTTAATAGTTCTTAATGAGCCTACACCCAAGTGACCGATGGCCAGACTAAATGTGGACTTGCTGTGTCACCTAAGGACACATTATTGGACTCTCGCTCCCTACTTGTTTCCAACAGGCTGGAATGGACTTCATAGCATGTAACAACAACCATGTGAAAGTTATGAGTGAAAGGCTTATGGAGAAACATGCACGTTTATTGCTATTATCTTCAGATTAAGAAAACATTTGCAGTAATAATAATAATGGTAGCTCAAATGAAAGAATGAAATCATCTCCAGAATGGCTATAGGATACTGAAGTTAAATTCTTAAAACATTGCATAGCACCTGCTCAAACAAAACAGCCAAGCCAAATTGTACTTAACGAAATTATCTTCTGTATTTAAAGACATCTTGGATTATTTTGCACACGTGTTAGATAATGGTTGATAGCATCCCAAAACACAAGCTCTTTTATACCCTTGTTTAAATCCTGACGTTCTGTAACATTACATTTATATGGACTTGCACTGTAAGCATTGTGAGTATATCAAATTGAAATTAAGAAACACATTTTGCAAACAATATTTTTTGTATCTTTATATCTGCATGTTTAATTTGACGCAGATCTTCCTCAGAAGGGCTTACCACCGTCAAAAGCATGTTTTGGTCATTTCAGTGATACCATCCGATAGGGAGGGCCTGCAGGCAGATGAAGCTATCGGGGTGCTCAGACAGCACCACAGGGTTCCCGTCCAGCCTCACCTCGTCCATGTTGGTTCGGATGTAATAACTGGAGTTCCCTCTGCAGAACGTCTCATCTGTTATTGTTGAGATCTTGTTGTTCTGCAGAACAGACACAGGACACCACAATATTGGCCCAGCAAGTAGCTACTACTGTTGGCAATACAAACACAAATAAGTTAATTTCTTAGTAATTTGCTGTGATTTCATTGTATTGCAGATGAACTTACATGCAGGTGCACAACCTGAAGAGACTCTGGAAGTTGGGGCACAGCTGTCAGTTCATTGTTTCCAAGATAAAGATATGCCAGTCCTGTGAGTTTCTGCAACAACAAAAGACCACTATTTCAGACTGCCTGCTGTATCAAACTTGCAATGTACATAATGTTTGTAATATTTTAACTTGGGATCTTACTTTAAAAGCAGTTGCCTTCACACCCTGGGTTTTAAGCTGGTTGAAATTGGCATTGAACAGAGTCAGCTTGGCAGGCAGCATAGGCAGTTTAGTCAGTTTGTTTTCTACAAGAATGAGCTCCTCAAGAAGTAGAAGTTTTGAAAAAGCTCCATCGTCTATCTCAGTGATGAGATTCCCAGTTAAGTCAATTGTTTTTATGGTGGCTGGAGTATAAAACAAAGAGAGATGACTTGAAAGATCACATTCACTGAAGAGTTAACTAAACTATAATGACTTGTATTTACCCATGTCTGCAAAGTCTTGGTTTCTTATTTTTGTGATTTTGTTGAAACGTGCGTAGAGATGTGCTGTTTCTTTTGGCAATGCTGGGACTGCTGACATTTCAGGGAACACCTCCTCACAGTAAACTGATCCAATCAGGCAAACGCAAAGCAGACATGTTGGCATGTCTGAAAAGATCACATGTAATAGGTTTCAGCAATGTGATGGCAGCTTCAAGCTCAACACACACAGTTTCGATGGGGACACTTGATCGACCCAATTATTACATAACACTGCTTTAGCTACATTTTCCTAAAAATACAAATGCTCCAACAACTATTGCATAATAAACATTGAAACAGTTGTTCAAAACGATTTATTCAATTTAAAGAAACCTTACCAACAGCTTTTGGAGCTGCTGCTGGGTCAGTGACAGAGTCTTGAACAGTGTCATAGTCTGGAAGGTTTGCAGTGTCTTTCTGTAAAAAAGAGAACCCCTTATAGCAGCTATACTTTCCCTTACAACTCAAGAGGACTATGCATTAGTTCTACCAACTTATTAACAGTGTATACACCTTTAAAGATAAAATTACCTTAGGTCTTCTGACTTCCATGTATTTGTCTTTTGCTGCAGTAGACAATATCCATGGCAGTAGTATGGATGTAAAAAATAAAGTCCTTAATTGCATCATTGTCTCTTAGTTGGTGTCGAGAGAAGAGAGTGTCTGTCAGCAAGCTGGGACCTGAGTTATATGTGAGCAGGAAACATTTCCTTCCAGCTTTTTATGTAGCTGCCAGTAAGTAAGAAAATGAAGCAAAGTTTAACTCAATACATGCTGCGTTAGTGTTGCTCTCAGTCGTCAGGGCATTTCTAAAGACTATATACTGTACTTTTTGAAAGGATTTTTTTGTGATTTATGAAATTATTTTGCAAAGCAAGCAACTTACTGGAAAGAGAAAACTATTTTAAGGTATGACTCAGTTCAATCACCAACAAAAACAAAACAGATAATGCACTCTTTAGCAGAGGGCTGTTTCTCTATTATAAGGGACATGTACAGAATATGATCAACATTTCTGTATTGTCCTGAAACAATCAATTAATTGATCGACAGAAAATGAATCAACAAAATCAACAGTACAATCTTTTAGATTCTTTATTGTGCAAAACCACTCCACATCACTGTTTACAGCCTTTAACATTAGAGGATTGTTTTGTTTCAGTTTTATTAAATGATTATTTAAATATCTGTAAGTATTTAGACTGTTGTTTGTTCTCTGTTGGCTCTGGGAATGTTTCACTATTATGACCTTTTTTAAACTATAATTTAAAAAACTGAAACATAAACCATAATGAAAATGATCATAATTTAGATCCCTAATGTCACTCGGGTAAAGAACAGAAAGTCATATTAAGGTTTAGAGATGTTTTTTCTATGGCTTGTGCTTCAGACAGATCAATCATGTTAAAGAGTCTATGAATGTAGGCTCACTGGGCTAGTGTTTGAGCAAAACAGAGGTTACAATTGTGATTGACCTTAACGTTTGACCTTGCTGTGCAGGATGAAAGCAAAAATAACTGTCTTACATGTAGAAAGAGCCATGCTAATAATAAAATGTAACCGTACAATTATAACCAATAAGTGTCTACCAATTTCCTGCACAGCATTCTGTATAGTTATGTAAGGTATATAAATGCGGCAGACAGCTCTCATGTTCAAACACACAACATAAATAAATCTGATATCTTTGAAAATACTTATTGTAATTTTGTCTAGAGTTTAACCAAACCAGGGAGCCGTTGCCAGATAAAGATCCGCATTAACGATAATATGCGTTTTTTGCTGTAATGAAGTGTGGAATAAAAATCGTCATGTAACCTTGTTGTTCGAATAAATCTATAATGAAAATGGTTATGTCAAAGCCCACCAGATAAAACAAATATGGCTTAAGCGCACATATAACTTGTGCTTTTTATTATATTTTACAGTAGGCTATATTCATTATCTTATTTAGCTTATGAGCAGGAGTAGCATTACGTAAGGCAGATGTGCGGTGAGAAAAGAGGAAACAGAACGGGTAGTGTAGCGGAAGTGGTACTGCCCTGAACGATACGCTGAGCGAGACGGAGGACGGAGGCTAAATCGTCCAGAGAGAGAAAAAAAAAGCAGGACTAAAAGTCACCAATATTGTAAGTGTAAGAACATCGCACTTATGTAAGGCGCAATATAAGAGCATATTTTCATTCGTAGCTTAATGTTAGAATGGCGTTTTCATCGTGTCTGGTTGAATCCTGCTGAGAAGCCATCATGATAGCGAGCTGGGTTTGTGAAAGGCTAACGGTTTAGCGCGCTGGCTAGCAGCTCATGCTAACCAGCAAGCTAACGGACGGTCGGATTCCGTGACACTTTGTTCTGACAGGCTCGTCAGCCTAGGCGGGCCGTGATACAGCTGCTAAACATGAATTACACGTGAAAGTAACGCGTTAGAGTACACAATTGTGTTTTCTGTGTATAATACCAAAATGGCAAATGCCGATTGCCAACACCCTAACCGTGTTTTTTAACCGAAAGTCAGTCGTTGCTTTTGTTGGCCTAGCGAACGGACGTTACCGTCACACTGTAACGCTACATTTTAAGACGACGCTAGCTAGCAAATGGTTAGCCACTCCTCCACTCGCTGTGCGTATTCATTAATACGACGGATGAGAAATAATAACGGTATCTAATTATGTTAGGTGTCATATTTGTATTGTCCAAAAGTAATTATTATTCTGATCGGTCGCACATTGCAAGCTATATTTGATATCGGTTAGCACAATGTACCGCTCCGCTAGCGTTGCTAGCAACATAAAGGGAGGGCATTAAAACCTGACCCGTGAATGCTTCGCTTGGTGTACTAATTGTCGATTTAAACGACATTTAAAAGAGCCACTAAAACAGTTTTGTTATTTATATTTTACAATATGGCAGTTGTTGATACTGTGAGTGGATTTGATTTAGTCACATTAAATCTAATTGGGGTTAAGGACTAGGAAGGATTGACAAACGCTAGCTAGCAGCTAGCCTTAGCCAGTGATGTGTATGGTTGACCCACTTGCCATGGGGCCCAGTTTGCAATGCTTATCCTCACTTTCCTTTGAATCCAATGGTAACCTCTCTTAGAAGCCAAAGCAAAATAACTTAATAATACAAGTTAAAAGAAAAACTAAATGCCAATGTGAGGTCTGTTAACATTTCCCCCTGTTTTTTGATTAACTATACACAACACATCCTAATACTGTTTTTCTTCTCCACCAGTCTAGAAAATGGATAAGAACGACCTGGTACAGAAGGCCAAGCTTGCCGAGCAGGCTGAGCGCTATGATGACATGGCTGCATCCATGAAGGCGGTGACAGAGCAAAATACGGAGCTGTCAAATGAGGAGCGCAACCTTCTCTCGGTTGCCTACAAGAATGTGGTAGGAGCACGCCGCTCATCCTGGCGTGTCATCTCCAGCATTGAGCAGAAGACAGAGGGCAATGAAAAAAAGATGCAGATGGCGCGCGAATACCGGGAGAAGATTGAAGTTGAGCTGCAGGATATCTGCCGTGATGTGCTTGTAAGGATTTTGTATTTTTTGTTTTGTAATTCAATACATAATCATTCACATGTGAAAATGGCGCTTGTTTGAAATTGATTCTGAATATCACATAACTAAACTATTTTAACTTTTGTTTTCAGGGGCTACTGGACAACTTTCTCATTACCAATGCAAGTGCTGCCGAGAGCAAGGTGTTCTATCTGAAAATGAAAGGCGACTATTATAGATACCTGTCTGAGGTCGCTTCTGAAGATAAAAAGAAGGGTAAGGACATGCTTAGCATAAGAGATGTGTTCACGGACCATGTGCCTACAGCTGCATTAATACAATTAATAACAAGGGGTCAAATCCCTATATGAAAGGGATCAGTGGGGGTGATTATCCCCAAGTCTGCAGTTTCTTTCCCCCACATGTAGCATTTTTCAACTATATATTTTTGTTCTTCTCTTTCACTATGAAGATACCGTGGAGAATTCCCAGCAGGCGTACCAGCAAGCATTTGACATCAGCAAGGAGGAGATGCAGCCAACACACCCCATCCGGCTTGGCCTGGCCCTCAACTTCTCGGTCTTCTACTATGAAATCCTCAACAACCCGGACAAGGCTTGCAGCCTGGCTAAGGCGGTATGGACTGAAGCCCAATGTCATAATTTATAAATCCTTTACAGGTTTACTGTGAATAAGATTAGAAGGCAATATTATATTACAATGTTGCTGGATTTTTTTTAAACATTTGAATAACAAGTGTAATATTTGTTTTTCAGGCATTTGATGACGCCATTGCTGAACTTGACACTTTGAACGAGGATTCTTACAAAGACAGCACCCTGATCATGCAACTACTAAGGGATAACCTGACTGTGAGTTTTAAGCACCATACTGTTTTGTCTCTCATTGATTCTACTGTATTACTCGCAGCTAATTATAACATTATTTTCTTTCTCTGTTACCAGCTGTGGACATCAGAAAACCAAGCAGATGAGGGAGAGACTGGAGATGGGGAAAACTAATGGAATTGCACTGTTAATCCACCTACACTCTTATCTTAAACACAGACAGCTTATATACATCCCCCTCCACTCCATCAGCTCCTCCCACTTCTGTATGACAAGCAGCCTGAATTGCTCCTGACCAACTAGTTTACCCCTCTCAGTTCACTGTTAGGTGACAGGGTAATTTTTCAGTTAGCAGATTCAGTCACTTTGTGGAAACATGTTGTATTGATTAGTGAGTCCATGTTGCTGTTGTTTTTTGTCGGCTTTTGTGTGTATGTCTGTATGTAGTGAGAGAGCATGTATGAAAAGATGTGAAAGATTGTGTGTATGTGTGGTGGTCTGGGGGGAGGGGGGTGTTGTGAATTCTAATCGTCCTTCCAAATCCCTTTGTCCCAGCTAGTTTGTTGTGCATTTTTCATCCCTTTTTTTTTGTTATTTTCTTATTTGTGATTCCTCATGATATTTACAGGTTTTATTGTATGGTAATTAAACTGGCAGTTGATTTCCACCAATCACTGTGATGGTAGGCGTCCCATTTGCTTCTCAATCCCAAAACAGTTTTTGTGTTTGTATTTTCAGACACTCGTACAATCCTGTATTAACAACTAACTGCAATTCTGCTGTGGGCTCATACAGAAAGGAGGCAGGCTGTATTGTGACACTGACATATTGGTGTAAGGCTCCTTGATCATGTTCACAAATTCACAGTTTCAAGGGACCCCTTAAATTGTCATGTTAGATTTGTCAGACATCATACATTCCACATGAATTAGGCTTTTGGAAAGGCAGTGCTCCTGTTTTTTTTTTTGGAACTAAGTATGGATTGTCATTGTAGTTTTACTCACTGTTCAGGTGCTGCTTGATCTCAGTACAATGAAAATTGTATGTGCGTTAATGTGGTACCATGTATTTTGCAAGATTGACTATCATCTGTATGTAAAACCTAAAGTAACCTTTTATTGATGTTAATTGAAAATGTCTTACCACACTGTATCAACCCTGCTTGCAAAATATTCCTCTTAAAGCGGTTGTTTTCTCCAACAAAAAAATCTGTGCCTGGCTTTCTCTTGCAGCATCTGTGGCTGCATCTGCTTGTTGTTTTTTAGAAATATCAAAGGGAATTAGTTAAGACCAGACAACCTAAATTGCTAAATCTTGACAACATTTTTTTTACCCAGGTGCATCTCTCTGCTGTTAAAGATAGCTTGTGTTAATGATCGCCTCAAATCAGGTCTAATTTGGAGAGGCCAAGTCCTTCACTTAAGGAAAAAAAGCTCAGTGTCACAATACCATTTATCACCACTACATTCCACATATTGTAGTTGAAGACACCATTCCACATTATTGCTGACCGTCTGTTTACTCTGACAATGCTCCAATGAATTGAAATAATCTTGTCGGGGGGGGGGGGGGAAAAAAAAATCATGTCAATTTATTATTATGCTTGATGAAAATGCAGTTAGTGAATGTGGAACGAAGCCTGTCTGTATATCAGGTATTTACTTGCTTTGTTTTTACAAGTCTTATGGCTAAACATTTGCTTCTGTAACAGTCTATTACCCAGTGCACACACACGTGGTTGTGAAAATTTAGAATAGCTCTAAAAAGCAATGAAGAAATGGAGATAAACAATGGTTGGTGTAATTCTAGCTTTGTGTTTATGTATCTTAAAACCATTCTAGTTTCACTATACATGTAAGAAATAGAAAAAGTGTCAAAGAACATTCAGTGAAATAAAGTTTCGTTTAAGATAACAGGCAAATAACGTCTTCATTTTTGTTCACAGGGAATATTAATATGATTTAGTAAAGATACCTTAAATTCACTGAGTTTTCGTGACGATGTATAATTTCAGTCTGGGCCTTGCAAACATCCAACAGGGGGCGAAACAAGAGATTTTAATACTTTTTATATACAAGAACTAGTTTTCATCGCGGAGTGTCACGCCTGTTAACATATGCCCCCTCACACAGCTTAATTGAAATGACGATACGCGGAGGAGCACTGCAGGTGTTCCACGGTCATAATTAAACGAAAACAACCTACCGCCCATGTGGAAAGTGTTGAACGGCGCTCGCAACCTGCTACTCTGAAAATCATACTTCAGTATTCCGAAGATTGGCTATTTAAAAGCTGTAAGTAACGTTAACTTTTAAACATTTTTTAAGTCAACTGTCTTATTGAGATTGTATGCCTTCACCTCTACTTAATATTAGCTAATATTGGCTTTAAAAGTGCTGTAAGAAGTGGTGCAAATGTAGCTAACTTTAGCTAGCT